TGTTGTTAGCCTTTTCTCTCTGAAGTTGGTCACTATTTCTCCAGTCTTATGTTCAGAAGCAAATGATTACTTCCAGATCACTCCTCAAAATAATACTCTCAAAACTAGCAGCTTCCCAAATTAAACATGAATCATGATATGAATTAACTATTTATAAAACTTTTAACACACTCACAAACAAGTAGGTCATATCTTAATCACAAAAGTTTTAGGCAGGTGAGAAAAAATGCTGTAAACAAAGAATGCTTTCAAAAATGGAAGTGTTAATCACTTATTTTAATCAATGAACAAAATGCAGTGAATGAACAAAAGAGAAATCTAAATCAAATCAACATTTGGTGTGACCACCCTTTGCCTTCAAAACAGCACCAATTCTTCTAGGTACACTTGCACACAGTTTTAAGAGGGAACTCAGCTGGTAGGTTGCTCCAAACATCTTGGAGAACTAACCACAGATCTTCTGTGGATATAGGCTTCCTCACATCCTTCCTCACTTCCAGTACTTCTTTCTCTTCTTTATGCTGAAGATAGTTCTCAATGACTTTGGCTGTATGTTTGGGGTCATTATCCTGCAAAACAAATACATTTGGGACCAATAAACAATTATTTATATTTCTGAAAGCATTCTTTGTTTAAAGCAATTTACACCTGCCTAAAACATTCGCACAGTACATATTATACATTATATATTAATCTTAATGGATTATTAATCTACTGAGACTAATCTACTCTAACTTTTTAAATGACACCATGATCACATTATGCATGAGCTTTCTTTTTTATCAAGAAAAACATGTATGTCTCTATTTCTAAATCACATACTAAGGGGAGTAACACATTATAAAAGTGCTCTGACCTTCCCCTCCTGCCTGTCACCAACATTTCCCACTACTGAAGATTCGTCAGAGTATTTCTGTAAGTGGCATGACACAGAGCTGTACTGAAAGTCTGAGGTGTACAGCCCGTGTAACATACCAGTTTACACTCTCACAAACATTTCCACGTATTTATAAATCATCCAGTTCTATTAGACTGTCATAAACAAGTTTAACTTTTAAACACGAAAGAAATACTAATGAAAAAAAAGAAAGAAAGAAAACTAACCACTCAAAATTAATACATTTATATTACTCATCCCTCTGAAATTGACATTAATTATTCTTCAGGGGAATTAAATTTGCATTGTTTTTAAGTGTCAAATCTAACCTTACAATGGAAGTGGTAAGCCTGCATTTTATAATTTTATAATTTATAATAACCTTGCATGAGAAGTGACTGAGGATACTGAATGTAAAACTTAAAGGTACAGAGCTTTAGACACCCTTCAATATAACATATCCACTACTGAGAGGCTTGAAAATGACCATAAAGTGGAACCAAAGCCTCTCTTACATAATGTAAACAAAAACTGAAATTTTTACGTTTAGGACAGGTTGCTGAAATACATTAGATTATGTGGGTGCTTCTGATGTATTTGTCAAACTGCTTTTTAAGCAGTAACTGAGCAACAGCTGTGATGGAGTGAAATGTTACAAAGAGCCATCAGTCTACTCAGATACTTTCTTTGCTGCTCACTTGGAACATTTAAGCAATTTCTCTCAAATACTAGAGTGCGACTTAATCAGTGTCCCTGCCCAGCCGGCTTCAGTGGGTCACCACAACCCCTCAGTAATGAAGTCCGAGCATCTATGGCAAGATGACCTCACTAAAAAGAGCCAATCTGCCACAGCTAAAAGAGTGTAATGAGGTATCTGTCATGGTTATATGAGCGTTATATGTTGAGATATAGTGTTGTAAAGTCTTCATTTTCATGGAAAGGCAGCACAAAAAAAATCAAATTTTATCCAATATAATAACAACTTGTGCAATAATTCTTTCTTGGATTTGTTCTTTTGTACTCAGCAACACCTTAGAAGGTTGCTCTGCAGTAGAATTTACATAAATCAACTCTGTTACTACAACTTTTACTGTTTATATAGTTTTTCTTAGGGCCAAATAAGTCAAGCTGATATATGAAAAACACATTCTTATTTATAATGCCATGGAATTTAATGATCCTTGTCTTTTTCTAAATGAGGAAACTTTGTTTATGACAACAAAATTATCAGTTGAAGTTATGAAATTTTGTGTGTTGATCGATTAATAGATGATCCTTGAGAGTTAAAAACTTTTTCCTCCCTAAAAAATATTGTATTAGTTAGAAATTAGGAATTAGTAATTACTACATTTTTGCTAATTAATTATTGTCCAGTTACTTTTGAGAGTCTGAAAATGGGAGACTGACAAAAACCAATGCAATTCCCAAACATTTCATATGACAATATACGATTTATTAAACCCACTGCAATGAATTAAAGCTGAATCTTCACTTTCTTTACATCTTGATTGCCCGATTTAAAATCAGTGTGTTGGTATACAAATGCAAAATTACAAAAATTGCATTTTTGTCCATGTATTTAAGGATCTACCTGTAAACATTTTACAAGGGCAACAACCTGCCATGGAAGAAGAAGAGGAGAAATGATGTGGACTGCACATTCTTTTAGTATTAGAAACATGCTTATAAGTCCAAGCTTGTTTAGCAAGTGGGTGCCATGGTCCTCAGTGTTTGACGCAGTGTTTTGAGTTTGTTATTCTTTGTTCTTAGTTAAGAGTTTCTTCTCATTTATGATTTCCTGTGTTCTTGGAATGAAGGCGTTTTTTGGTTCTTGGTTATAATTTAGTCATCAAGTTTCAGTTAATGTCTATTTTCAGCAAGCATTCTACTTAGGGTTATTTGATTTAGTCTCTTGTTATTTTCTTAGCTTCCCTGTTTGTGTCAATTTTGCATGTTATTCATTGTCTCAGTGTTTTTATCTTTTATTTTGCTGGTCACTTGTCGTGTTAGTTAGATTCTGTGGCTGTTTCTTTGCTCCCTAACTACCTCATATGTGTATTTATGCCCTGAGTTTTCCTTAGTTCTTTGTCATGTCCTCCCTCACTTGTTGTGTGTCTCCCTGCATTGTGTTCTAGTGTTTTCTGCCCCTGTTTAGGTTTGTTCTGTGAGCTACCAGCAACATAACTGTATTTCTTTATTTCAGTCAAAATCCTGCCTGTTACATAACTGGACAGGACAGAGAACTGTAGAAAATATGAAGATGCCGAGAAGTGCAAAAGATTTTTGGCAGTATTTGTTTTTATTTCAGTATAATTAATGTTTTCTTTTTGCGATCAGCATCTGGAGAGTATTCACTGATACAGATCAGTCAATTATACTCAGAATGAGGCAATAGTTTGGGGCAGAAGTCATTTAGTGTTAGTGAAAGCATGCAGGAGAGGATGATGAGAATTCAATTTAGAGCCAAAAATTGGTGTTATTTTCAGGCAATTATGTGAAATACACAATAGACCGGGAAAAGACAACAGCTGTTAGTCAGAGATGGAATAACATTCTCTCACTTTATTTATCTGCCTTCCCTTCCCTGACAGACACATACTCCCCAGTGAGCTGCAGTGATATCATTTGGAAGAGTTAACTCATTCAGATCATACCTTGTTGCAGTGCGACATCCATCACATCCATGAGCACCGAGCCACTCCCAGCTTCCTACATCAGTGTATTTTCTCATGACTACGTTGTGCAGACTTTGATTTCTTTGAGGCAGAAGGATGAAATTCATGACATAACTGCTCTTAATAATATTGGAGTAGGCCTAAATGTTTTTTTTCTTACAAATAACTACAGTAATGATGTAAACTATAGCTTTTCAAACATAGCAAAACGTGTTGTTCAAAATGTGATTAGAAAATTTATAAAAGAAGTTAAACATTTAAACAGATGTGATATTCTTTTAAATGTAACATAAAAATGACAGTTTCCTTTGAATATTGAGTCTAAATATCTGTGTGACTTTGAAGACATGCTGTTAATCACCCACTACTTCCCCCATTAAATATCAGCATATTTACTCCTAATTGAGGTGACAGTTATTTTCTCTGCTCTGTTTATTAATATCCTCCAAGTTTAACATCGTCATCAAGTCTGAAAGTCTGAAAGTCAAACATCACTATTTGAGATGTGGACGGTTTTTGCATCCAAACCTCATTTTGGTTATCAACTAATTTAAATAATTTTCAATGTTTTTTTCAATTTTGTTTCATGTATTTTATTTAGCATACAAATAAAAAGTTAATTTATTAATTAAGTACTGAAAAATACATCTGATCTGTTCAATAAACCGAAATAGCTGTCAGCCAGGTCAGAACAGTTACTGTTGCTGGTTATTTTTAAGCGTATTATAAACATACAAGAAATTACGGTAAATATAAATATTTCATTATTTTAAGTGCAAAGGATTTCATCCTCAAAAATCATGGTTGTTGTCAAACCACTGTAGTCACTCTGGAACACTTACAGTGGAACTATTATGGTCACAGTATATTTAAACAGAGGGACTTTGCATTATTCACAGTTCTATCATATATTAGACCTTGGTGAAATGTATTCGCTGTCTAAAAATATTTTAGATTATCTTTCTTTAAAGCCATCCTTCTTTTAAACCCAATTTGTTCTTATAGACTGGCCCTCACATATAGAAGGATTGAACAGCAGAAATATGGGAATAATGCATAATCTGCATAATATGCAGTATTATTTATATCCTCGACATCTTTGAGCCTCTTGCTTTCCTTTCCGACAGCTTTCACCTTACTGGAAGCCTCAAGTGCAAATTTACCAATGGTCTCTAATAGTAAATGTCCCTAAAGAAAGACATAAACAACTGAGTTTCATTTTATTTATTTATTTTTCATCTTCATATATCTATATATACCTAGATTTTCTACAAATACTATTATTTTATTTTTTTAATTATATTTTATATTAATTATATTATATTTTTAATTTATGGCTGAATTACTTACATAAGACATCCTGATCATCAGTCTTTCACAGCAGTGTCCATAGCTCTGACGGAGGCAGCCTATCAGATGTCAACATATCGCCTCCTCGCTGCTGATTGGCTGACTCGTGGAGGAATGGGATGTCGGGACAGCAAAGATGTCCGCGCTCATTTGAAAACCTGCTATAGGCGAATACGGAATTTGCCACTTGTTTTTATGTTTGTGGGGTGACAACGTTGTGCTCAAGCGAGACGCATTGAAAGGAAAGATAAGGACTCCGCGACAAGGGCCAGACTATTCCTTATTATCAGGTTAGCGGCTAAATGTCTCCTTGTAAGCTGAAAGCTAGCTGCAGCTAACGATAGCTAGCATGCTAGTCGGGCCGTTTCAATGGTGTTTAGTGTCAGCATGCAGACTCATAGCTGACTGTCAAGTTGTATATTTATGTAATTTACAGCGTCTTAGTTTCTGTAGAGTACCGAACTTTGTTTGGGGGAGTTTTTGAGGTAAGAACTTCCAGCTAACTTCTAGCATGTCGCGTCTATCAAAGTCAACAGAAACTTGCTACCGTGGAAGTCCTGTGGAAATTGTTAATGAGATTTCTATCTCCTACTACGTTGACCCCTCTAACGGGATAGTTTTAGTAATAGTAAAGGTCCAGTGAGCCTGCTTCAGCCAGCTAAGTTGTCGATGTGTTAATAGAGAACATTTTTTAGCCACCAGTAATGCAATCTGTCCTTCAGTCAAGTAAATTAAATAAAGTTATTTACGCAGAGGAAGTGTATTTACACCTCATTTTATAGTCACTGGTATTCACAGTACTTTACAGATAAGCTACTGATAAAAGTGATGTCATCATTAATGTCATAAAGAGAAAATGACAGAAGAGAACAGTTTATGTGAAACTCTTTGTTCTTAAGTACTACAATAAACTTGTCTCGAGGATCTATACTTTATTTTTTATCGTATTAAATGATGGATATGAATACTACAGCTAAACGGACTGTTATGGCGCAAATTGGTGATGCTCTTCAGTTGTATTGTGTCTGAAAAAAGGTCTTGCTTGCTTTTAAATACTGTTATTTATACCTCAAACTCTGTTCTTCCCAGAAATAATGCTGATATCTGAAACTCATGTCGGAAGTCGTGTATGAAGAGACAGCCACGATGATTGCCGCAGGGGAATTGCAGTCATTTGTCCCGTTTGGCCGCGAGCATTGCAGGAACCATCCAAACGCCTTCAACCTGCAGCTCAGAGAGCTCCAGCCTGCCTCCGAGCTGTGGGCATCAGATGGTGCTGCTGGCCTGGTGGGGTCCCTGCAGGAAGTCAGTCTGCAGGAGAGAGAGAGGGTGAGAGTGTCTAGTATTATGATCTATAATTTTTCATAATAGGAGTGGGCCATCTAACAGTCTTATTTAATGGATAGCCTGAATTGTTCTCCTGACCTGCTCTTCAGAGGAACTGGTGTGTATTAAACAGTAAAAATATAAGAAGGAAAATGGTAAATAGAATACACCTAAAGCGTTTAAATTTGTTTTTTCATTAACATATCTTTAATTACTTTAAATCTTTAATTATTTTTTTACACTAATATAGTCAGTGCAATTGTTACAACACTGCTGCACTGCAGTACTTAATGTGTTGTTAAGCTCAAATGTGGTTTTGATTTGGTTTTTGTGTTGATGTGTTTTGAATGACAGGAATTTTGGCAGCTTAGGAAGGGCTGCAAGGGAGTCAAAGAGGAAGATGTGGAATTTGAAGAAGAACTCTATGCAGCAGGAAACGTGGTTGTCTGGAGCCAGGGTAGTAGGGCTCAAGCTTCCAGTGTATATAAGGCCTTCACTGTTGACAGCCCAGTGCAGCAGGTCTGTTTCTAATTGTTTTGTGTACTACATGGTCTCTCATAATTGTGCTTATCCATTCTCATTTCTAAGGGCAAATGAGGGACCATGTTGTTTTCTGTCAGGAATCAGTATGGCTTTTGCTTTACTATATAGATTGTATATCGCCCACGATGATTGTCAGGATTCTGTGCTCTAAGACTTGAAACAGTTTTTTTTTTTTTTGTATTATCTCCAGGCCTTGTGGTGCAACTTTGCTGCTCCTCACAAGAAGAATGATGGTACTGTGTCTTTTTGTGCAGTTTTTTGCTTATTCATATTGCAGTCCTGATGAACAAAACACAGAATGTTTTTAATGTTTTGCAGATGAAGAAGTGGAGCTCACAGTGTGTATTGTCCAGAGTAGCTGTGTTAATGTTCACACCATGACTGGAAAAGACTTCATCTCACCACTGCCCTTCCAGGTGAGGTATAGAGCAATATTAATGGGGAATGTTTATATCCAGCAAAAGAGATGGGTCTACACATGAGCCACAAAATTCTTTTAAATCTGCGTGACTCAGTTGGACCTCCACTACCTAAACTTTCACCTCAACACAGATGCAAGCTGACATGCAGCAGTAACTGCAGGCTTCTTTGTGTGTCTCCCATGTTCCAGAACACTGCTGAATAAAAGGATAATTTGATTAGTAGATGCATAAGTCTCTGAAACATTACCCCACCTCGCTGCTGAACTAAAACCACACAACCCACCACGTTTGGATTAGGGATATTTCTCAGAGCCATTATTGGTTAACCATTTTCTGGTTAACCAGTAATGATAGAAAATTTGTATCACTGATAGTGGGAAGTAAGTGTGTGTGAGTTTATGTGTGTGCATAGCTTTGTGTATTTACCAGTGTCTTTCACTCAGTAGTCTGTTGCACACCAACAAAATATAATTTGATTTCAGGATGTGTTTTCAACGTTTGAGTTTTGTTTTTTTTAAAACTTGAGGCATTCGTGATAAAGCATTTGATATTTTCTTACGGGAAAGGTTGGACATACACTCTTACTAAATAACTGAATTTAATAAAGGGGCAAGCAAACCGTGGGTTGGTGTTGTGAGAAAGGCAAGAAACACCTTGTGAGAGCCTTTGTGACAGGAAGAATCCCCACTGCTGTGGTGTCCCTGACACTGAAGCTCTCAGGGTGTTGCACTTTTCTTAACCTTTCAGTGCTGTTTTTAAGTGGCAGAGAATATCATTAGTATTAGTTTCAATAGAAAGTTATTCAAGATAATTTAAAAATAGTACAAGTAACCATTTTTTTAAATAAGAATTTTAATAGCTGGGATGTAAAATGCAAAGTTTTGTGAATATTGTCAGTTTTTCAATATTCATTTATATAAGGCTGTATTAAACTACTCTAGGAAAGCAAAGAAAACAAGTGGCACCTCTAGCCTTAAAATAAATATCTGACAGAGACTTTATTCATGATTGTTGGACAAAATTTAACCTAACTATGAATTTTATTATTTACTGGTCAGGATGGATCTGTGTAAACAGAATGCAGTTTTTTGTATTGTTTTAAATGCAGGTCAAAATATTGAATGGTTTAGCATTTAAGGGGGCTATATGGACACCCAAGTTTGTGAATGCAATAACTTAAGAATGAAGTCACATAGGATTTTGAAAATTATACCATCGGTGTATCTACTAAAAATCTTGTACTAGTTTGAATCTCAGAAACCTTGACCTCATGAGAACAAGGCGATGTAAAATTTGGAAATTCATACTTCTACTAGGAGGCTGGGGAGTACCATCGGCTGCCATCAGTCTTTTTAAAAATTGTTGATACCAGACATCTGTTAAAAATGTTTCATGAGTCTGTACTGTCTTTTCTTTTCAAGGTGTCAAATGTGTGGGCAACAAAGTTTGGACTTCTTATGGAACGTAAAAACACAGCAAATGATGCACATTTCAGCCCCCCTGGGTATGTGCTCACACTCTGCACTTGCAATCACATGCCTTCACAAGTACATTTGTATCTCTGTATCTCATTGTACAACTGTATAGTGACAATAAAGGCATTCTATTCTACATGACACATGTTTCGATTAATCAGTGCATCCATGTGAAATAATGTAGTGACAGACATTTCTACACTGACCTACATACACAAACATAAAGTATATAAACGAGGGATTGACCTCTTATTCCACCCCCCCCCCATACAGGGAACCTCTGCCCACAGTTTTCAGCATGCTGCATCCTCTAGATGAGATCGCACCAGTTGTGTGTAAACCTGCAGGTATGAGACACTGATCTTCTCAGAATGAGATCTTGTGAACGTATTTCATATTTTTCCTGAATTTGTGCGTATTCTTTTTTCCAGGCCTGTTTGAAGGCTCCCGTGTGCAGTATGTGTCTGACTCGGCCATGAAGATAGTGTTCACCTGCTGTCAGCCGTCTATAGTTGTATCATATGACACAGTTCAAGGAATACACTCTGTCTGGACTCTGCGCAAAGTCACACATGATGTGAGTGATCATGAATACACACAAAGACACTAAAACCAACTAAGTTCTTCCTAAACTAAAGCCTTTTAACCCTGTCAGGAGCGCTCTACAGTCCTGCGGTGTCCGGCAGAACCGGTTGGGACACCGTTGGGTCTGATGGCTTCAGGCTTTCTCACTTCTCATTTGCGGAATGTCTCCCGTCATGACTCCCCTGGTGGCACTGGTCCAAGTGGGCATGGTCTTGGGACTGGAACAAGGTACTGAAAGTGGAGCAGCCTAATCAAGTGATTAGCAGACGGGCAGGAATTAGTTAGCGTCTTGTTACATTTCTGAGTAAAGCAAAAGTCCCACTGTCTAAAGACAGCTCCTCAGTTATTGGGGTTGCTGCTGTGTCATACAGACTGAACAATAAAGTGATACTTAATGGATTATATTGCCTTAAAAATAATTACAAGTTAAAAACTTAGAGACCAAAACGTCAGCATCTGACCTGGTTACTGTTTTTCTTCCTGCAGTGCTGTTGGTTCCAGCTCTCCCCTCCACTACAGTGCTTTGCACAGCCACCAGAGCAGGATTGTCACTTCCTCACCAGGAACTCACTCTCGAGTTCATTCTCCGAGTATATCCAACATGGCCGCCCTCAGGTGAGGTTAACCTAGCCAATGAGGACCATACCCATAATAGGTAAAAACTGAAAAATGCTTATCCCCTGTCCTCCTGTCTCAGCCGTGCCCACTCTCCAGGCATGGCAGCTCCATCCTTTTCAGGTGTGGCTCGTTTCAACACGTCTTTGCACAGCTCATCCCCCAGGGGGCACCATGGGTTGTTAGCATCTCCCAACAGTACTATCAATGAGACAGTGTTGGTCCCAGAGATGGAACCTATCATACCTGACCTCTGCATGGAGCAGCTATGGAGTGAGGCGGTCACTGCTGGCTCCAACAGGTAATTGGCAGCATTGAAATCTAACTTCAAAGCTTTTGACTAGTTTTAGCTCAAAGGTCGCTCTTAAAAATGTAAAAATTGCTTTTAAGCCTGTAACTCTTTTGTCGTATTGTAAATGTGAGACTATTTTAATCAGTAAAGGAAAAAACAATAAGCAATGAAAGCTTGAATGGTCTTGCAAAGTTGTTCATTAGCCTTTAGATCAAAGTTTGTGAGCAACTTGTTCTTTGTGTTTGCATAATACACAACTTTTTTAAATTTTTTTTTTTAAAGACATCATTTGTATTCTATGTAATACAGTTCTTTCTGTTGCTTTAGGCTGTTCCAATTTAGCAAATTCTGCTGTTTGACATCAGTTAGCATCTCTTTTTACCATTTACAGGGAAATGAGCAGCCAGGCATCTAAAGTATTCCTGACCTCTGATCTCTGTGAGAATCATTACTTGTGTTTCCTGGTGGAATCTCACCAACAGCTCAGGTAAACAAACATACACACATCTTTGTCCACCCTAATTTGTTGTGAAATGTGAGTTCACAAGTTAACTTTTTTTTTTCATGATCATTTTATTTTCTGCAGATGTGTGAAGTTTATTGAGAGCAATGATACGTCACAGCTCATCTTCCCCTCTGTCACAACCATCCCTGCTAAAGATGCGGAGCCTCTGCAGGTGCATTATAAAATTCTATCATTGGAGAGTTGAAAGGGAAAGCGCAAAAGTTAAAACGGGGGAAAACGGTATTCATTAGAGTCAAGAGTCTGTATGAAGTTTATGGTGCTGTACTGTGCTGAAAATAGCCCTTAGCAGGCTCTTCCACCTTAACAAATTGTTGCATGGGTGGTATAAAGTTGTAAACATTGTGTAGGAGGCCTTCCTGTATTTTTATTTTTTATTTTTATTTTTTTAAATCTTATCCGGATGATTACAAGTTTTGCAAGATATAATTAAGGTTTTCCTTGCTACCTACAGGAACTAATGTGTGTATATACATGAGATAAATCTGTTCTGCAAAGGATTTTGTGAAAAACTGTAATTAAAACTTTAAAAATAAAACTGTAATTATTTATCATAGTGGTGGTTATGTCCGGTCCATGCCTATCAAAAAAGTCTAATAGCAAAATGTTTTTTCTAGTTTAGATCAGGTTGGTCATTCTTTCCTGAAACGTTTAGTTTTCTCCATCGTCTGGATGGTAAAACTACCATGTGACCTGAGGTCTCCCAGGAAAACTATGGAGTTGGATGCTTGAATTTTGGAGCAGAAACCAGTGATTTATGTTTATTCATTATCATTTCAACTTTTAAGTTATTTTTTTTAAGTATGCACATTTACAGGTTCTAGCATCTTGTGTGAATATTTGATAATTTTCTTTGTATTAAGTTGTTGACAGTTGGGGAAATTACAGCAGGTTTTTTTTGTTTGTTTGTTTGGTTTTTTTGGAGTAACATTCAACGTGTTTCTGACAATGAAACTTTGCTCCTCAGAATATAGATGCCATGCTAGTTCTGGAGGCCTGTGGTAGTTTGGTTCTCTATACAGGAATCACCAGGGTAAGCACAGCTGCCTTTGCTTCCTGTAGATGACAATTGAGTTCTCAGATTTTTTGATTTATTTATTTATTTATTTATTTATTTTTTAACGGTGTAATGAATCATGGGATTGCTTTCTTGGCTGTCACCTAGGTCAGCAAGGTGTTTGTGCCTGGACTGTTGTCACCCTCCTTCAGCCTGACCAATCACCTCCCTCACCGCAGCACTCCAGTGGAAACTGTTAGCACACCTGCTAACGCTGGCAGTAGGCATCTCCAAAGACTTGATGAGGTATTAACATGCATTGTAAATGCACTTTTCTTTGCTTTTTAAGTGTGTACTGTATATCTGGTACATTTGACTCCTTTGGTTCACCTCTCTATTTTAACACCTCTCTTCAGGATGCCATGCCTTCACCAGTGACAGGGCTAAGGGGTCCAAACATTAAACACCATGATGCTTCCTTTTTGGAGGATTACACATTTCAGCCAGCCACACCCTACATCAATGCCTTACGTGATCCTGTCTGCAACCGGGTGACTCTGGTAGGTTTTCTGTGTTTAACATAGATGGCATTGATCCCTTTTTTTTTCTTCTCAACAATAGGTAAAACGTGTGTTTTGTAATCAAGGGGAATTAACTCAGATGATCGGTCATCCACACACTCACAGCCAGTACAAGAAACAGATGATGTAATCAAATCAAAGCCAAAACAAAACACAAGTTCAAATTAATGTTTGGTGTCCTAATTTTTTAACTCATCTGAGTTTAATGACATATACAGAACTGATTATTAGAAGGGGACTTTTCGGATACAAACAGCCAAAAGATGGTTGTCAGCTGTCAGTGCAGTGGAGGGTGAAAACGCATCAAGTGAAATTTGGACTGACTGCTACTGCACCGCGACAACATAGTGAGACTCTCCCTTAAGGTGTTGTTTCTTGTTTCTAATGTCTATCTGTGTCTGCACAAGTGATTCAGGCACATTCATATTTGTGAATGACGGTTACAAAAGCAACGTTGTTCGTGTTTCTGCCTCTTGGGTTAATCCTGTCAGACTTGGTCTAGACACTCTCTTCAGCTCCAGGACTTTACATTATTCTCTAAGTTACACACCAGCCAAACATCACTGTTTCTTTCTCTTATACATCATCAGAAAGCTTTCTGTCTGCAGGCTGCTGCTCTTTTGGCTTTGCTCATTGAATTTCTGTTTGAGACCTCAATATGTCAATCCAGAGACTAATTGTTCCTAATGCAGCGCACTGGACTTTTCAAACCTCCTGCTCCTGTTGAGTTTCACATCAGGGTTTCTTTCATGAAAAGATGACAAGAACAGGACAAAACCTGCTGGAGAAAATGTGATGAGAGGTTTTGGTCTGTTTTTCCATCTAGAGCACAGCTATTCAAAATAATTGGAAATATACAGTTATAATCCTGGTGAAAATGTGAAAGTTGCATGCTCTCAGTGACTGATTTGGTTATTTTTCTTTTCAGCTGATGATATTAGCTGTGATGCAGCTGGTAGAATAATTGGATATAACTTGCTGCAACAGAAATATGCTGCTGTATACATAATTGCAGGACAGGAAATGCTCGGAATTACCGCAACTTGTGAACTGATTACTCGTAAAGTATAGCAATAATAATAAATTTTATTTATAAAGCGTCTTTCAAGACACCCAAGGACACTTTACAATTGGATAAAACACATAATGGAATAATGAAAAAAATGAAGAAAAGTAAAACGAGTGCAAGCAATCATGAAATATTAAGTGAACCCTATAATTTATATCTTGTTGAGTTTTCTTTAGCATCAAGAAGCTGCTTCTTAGACTTGCACATCAACAGGAAGAATTGTTGGAGTGTTCATGTAACTGTTTCAGTTCATCAGTATTTCTGGGATGTCTTGATTAAACCCAGCAGGGAGAGGAAGTCATTTGGTTGAAGACGGGACTCTTTTGACTTGACCATTTCAACGCACGTTTTAAAAAAATTCTGTTATTCTGTTGTTGACTTACTGGTGTGCTTTAGGTCATTGTCTTGTTGCATCACCAACACCACCAACTCTCCCAAGTTTCAGGTCACAAAGGCCCTGAAATCCACCTGAGGTACACCCTAGGAAGGTCGCCAGTCCGTCACAAGGCTAATAGAGAGAGACAGTCCTCATTCACATTCACAGTCACACCAGAATTGGACACCAGAAATGCCTTGACCCGGCATAAAGAATACAATTTAGAATTCACGGTTCTTTTAACAAAGACTCAAGGCATCCCTAACACAACTAAACCATTCTTCGGAGTTGCGTAGACGTTTAGGTGTTGTTGTGCAGTGCTATTTTTTTTTTTCTCACTTCTAAACTCAACATTGTTAATTTTCACCGAAGGTCCAGGTTTAGCTTGCCTAACAACAAAGCATTTTTCAATATGTTTTGTTAAACCTCCATTTTGTCTTTTGCAAACATGGGATGTTTTGTAATTATGTTTTTAATGGTTACTTTCTATTCTGTCCTTCAAAACTTTCCTTTTTCAATCTTTTTCTTATAATGAACACATGAACAAAGGTGTTAGCAAGTTTTACTTATGGTGTGATCTTTACAGGATGTACAGACAGATTAATTATAGATGAAGATCAGACTACTTATTTTATGACAAATCAATACAGGAATCTTTATTTGAAATATTTCAAAGCATTTTGTTTGAAGTTATGGGTTGAAAATTTCATGTGTGTTGCACTTTTGACAAAATGCTGTAAGAACGCCTGATGTGACATCAGTGATTGGAGTAGTGCTTGAAAGTTTAATCAGCTTAAGTTGCAGCCAGGAAGTTTCTGACTGCCTGTAATTAAATGTTATTTGCTGTTGTTTAGTGTTTCTGGCGAGTCTGTCTTGTATACCCGAAGACAATGAGTTATTGCACACACCAGTTTCTTTTTTCTGAGATTTGCAATCAGGCTTTCTCTGTTGAGGTCTTTTATCAGTTTTGTGCTCACAAACAGCTGTTTTGCACTGATGTGAAATTGAACTTAAAGAGTATAATTTAAATGTATGCACAATCTGTCTCCACAATTTCTCCAGGAACTAAGCATTGGCACAATGCTGAGGATTTCTATCCCAGAGATTGCTACTTCAGACCTGGGTGAGTCACACATATATACATTAAAAAAAAATAAATCAAAGAAACGCTCTCACACATTTAAGAGTTGACATTGCAGCCGACAGTGTTGGCGTGTACATTTTAAGTGAGACCACACACAGATCGCTTAGTCAGTGCGGTGAGGTCCTTTAATTAGGTTTGAGAGCCTCTCTGCATCGTGTCCACAGTGACATATAATCTTGATGTCTTGAGGACCATTATGAGGCAGACACACATGGGCAGCAAGCACAAAACATTACACTGATAAACACTTTCACAACACCAGAATTGTTAATTTTTATTTTTTTTTATCTATTAAAGAGGATAGTTAAATGTATTTTAAATAATAGATGTAGCTCAAATCTTTATATATGGCTTGACAGAATGATGTTGTGCATCATAACTACTTCAGGAAATGGAAAGGAAAGGTCGTACATGTATGAACTGAAAGCGAAATGTAATATGTGTCTGAACCTCTGGTAATAAAATATCTGGAAACAGATGGCCTGCTATGCTGAGGTGAATTGGAAAGATGACACAGTTGTTTTTAGATGTGCAGAAGCACAGATATCCACATCTGCTCTTATTGTGTAATCTCTTACACAGGCTTGATGTAAAAATTAGTCAACAAATCTATTTAGTGTTTTCACTGTTTTTAAAAAGCCTGTTCTTTTGCTAAACCATTAACATCAGTTCACAGTGGGAATAAAAATGGAGGGATCTTTTTCTTTTAAATCAGGTAGTACTAAAAGCTTTTAGCAGCTTTTATCTAAACAAATGTGGGGCAGCATCTTTGCCACTGCTGATAAAACCACTGTTGCCACTTCTTTTTTTTTGGTTAAGGTTTTCACCTTTTGGCTTTACTGAAATGTCATTATCCTTTCAGTTGTTTAAAAGTACCTGCCGGGGGGGGTTAATAACATTTTTAAGATCCAACAAACAGATTTGCATAATATATATTTTCTTGCTATGTTGTACCACAGCCTTTGATTATCTAATCAGCATTTTTAGATAATCATCCAAAGGTATTAACTTAAAAAAATAAATGCCTTTTTTAACTTTAAACCTTCCAAACTTTTCCAAAGATTCTGACTGTCTGCTCTGTCTGCTTCGTTTTCTTATGTAAGATTTTCCACATGAAATGGAAAATTACTGTTTGTTTTTCTGGAAAGTCCACTCAGCTGGTAAAATAAACTCTATGGTATAACAGCAGACAGACCTATTCATTTCCCCGATGATTTCATTTCCCAATAGCACATAGTAGCTGATGACCATGTACTTTGTAATAATTAAACTAAATTACAGATATTTTTTTTTCTAACCAATTAACCTTGAGGTCAGCTGGATGATTTCATCTGTTGTCTACCACTAGTGGATCTACTGTGACCATGAACCTTCTCTTCTAGCTTTTGTTCGTTTTTATTTTTAAAGCCTTCATTGTCACCAAGCAGTGTGTATCACTCTTGCTGCCTTGTGTGCCTGCCTTTGTGTCTTGTTCATATGTTGCTCTCCATTATTTTGTAATCGATCCTGTAGACAAGGCTTTCTTCCTCTAATGAAATGGCATTTAGCTACCTCTTTCTTGACCTTTCCAACTCTGGGTGTCCAATTAAGATTCCCAGTGATGTTGATTAAGCATCTGATTGGCCAGAGTTGTTAGGAGACATGGTAGCGCTAATTACTGTTGTTGTGGTAGTTAGTTTGTAATTTCCATTTTTCTTTTTGGGGGGTAGAGGATGATAGGTGGAAATTGTCAGATCAGGATGAGATTCATTAAAAAAATCTGTTAAAAATAATTGAATTGCACTTTTTTTGTGTTTGTTTCTAAACTTCCATTTGTCTGTGGTTGGTAGCACAAGTATTAGAAAGTTTTAGCTCTAGTTTTAAGCCTAGAATTCAGGCAGTGGTTTTACTGAATTTAACACTTTTACAATAACATTTCCAGCATTTTCTACAGCTGAGAGAATCCAACCAGCAACCTTTTATGTATTTCATCTTTTCCTGTTTTGAAATTATTGCATCTTAGAAAAACTAATGTTTTGTTTTCTCACATTCTTAATGATTATTATTCTTAAACGTAATATAACTAATAAAACTGTCCAATGGTTATCTAATTCCATCCATTATGTAGAAAAAATTTTAGTAAATGTGTGTTTTCTGAATTGCCTCATATGATTGTGAATTTCACACCTAACTACCATGGACTGTGACACTTTTGCTATTTCCCTTGTTCCCCTTCGTGTATTTCAGTGAGAAAGTGCCTTGAGGCAATTCGTTTTATCCTGCCTAAGGAAGCTGCTATGAAGGTTGGTGGAAGTGAACATGTGGAATTTCAGTTACAAATTATGCATTAGTTAAAAACTTGACATTGTGCGCAGACAAGCAAAGATTCAGAATAACAACTTAACCAGTCTGCCAATAATTTTAATTCAGTGCATTATTAACTCTACCAAGGAGGTGTGTGCGCGCGGCGTACGTGTTCGTTCAGATGATTACTCAAAAAACTATTGATGGGTTTGCATGAAAATTCTACCTGTGATTGGTCAGTCTGGATCTGGATCTTTACCCATGATTTAATTTTTTGGGGAAGGTTTCACATAATTGAATTTGGCCATCATATGTTCACAAATGCATTTCAAACTGAAATGAAGGGCAAAAAAATTGGGAAAACTTGTGTTGATGGTCTTAAGTAAATGTATTTGCAATTTAATCCAAATCCAGACATCAAGAAGGATGGTCTGAATCTGGGACTTGTGTATGATATTGTGTAGGAAATTTTATACTCAGGAAAGGTAACCTCAAGCTGTGCTATTTATAAGCACTGAAACCTTTAGAGCGTAAGATCTCCATCATGTTTATTTAAATGTTACTCAGTCGTGGTTAGTGTACAGAGTATGACATCAGAGTTGACCAACTAACTGTCTCCAACTAATCAAGAAGGAAAAACAAAGAAGGAAATGTATACAATAACAGCCTCATTAGGCTTTGGCAGAAATTGTATAGGATCTCATTAGGTAGAGTAAGAGGCTGAATGACAAAATTATGTTTTTCAGGGCTTTATTTTCACACAAACATGCAGATATACTCTTTATTTTCATTGCAATGATCTAGAGAAACTCCATTTAGTTTTGCTAAATTCTTTAAATGCAACAGGTTTTGGTGAAATGGTATAACATCTACAATGCACCTGGAGGTCCCAGTGCCCACACAGAGTGGAGCCTGTTTGTCACCTGCTTCATGACACTGATGGGCTACAACACCGAGCGCCTGACCTGGACACGAAATGTGAGTCAGCATTTGTATTTTGTTTTTTAAACTGTAATTGTAATTTCCAGTTAATGTATTGTAGAAATGGCTTTCCAATTTGTTTCATAATTAATGACATTTGCAGTCATACTGAGTAGATTTAAAAATGAAACTTTCAGTAAAAATCTTGTACATTAATACAAAATGATTCTTGGCAGCCAAAAGCCTGGTCTGCTTTGAACTATTTTATTTTATTTTTTTTAATTCTTGACTAGAAAAATCCTATTGTGGCTTTAAACTGTAATTTGCATGTCTTGACCTTGCTCCCTGTCCTCCTTCCTATTTTCACAGCTGCATTTTGAAATGCCTCTCTCTCCAGTGATTGCAGCCAAGAAGGCTCGTCCCTCCGATGGAGGTTCTGATGAGGTGTGTTACTTAAGTGTGAGCTGTTGTGATGTTTTAGAGCACAATTATCAAGCTTGATTACAGCTTGTAGACTTATAATCCCTTAACAATCAATTATGCATGCAAGGGTTGTCTCACATAGTGAGACCGTGAAACAAGTGTTATAAAAGAAAACACAGCAAAAAGAAAGTGCTTCAATACTCTTGAATATACTTATATATTATACTTATATACTTTTGAATCCCCCAAATTGCAGATTTTAGAAAGTAATATATATCACTAATGATTTCTAGTCTCATGAAACATCCCTTGACTTCTTTCCATGTCTTAATTTTCTCAGTTACTAAAGTTACATTTGTTCTATATACTGCTTGTGATGGCCCCTTGGCCAGAATTTCCTGGAAAAATAATTTCTTGTTTCTCTGTAAGAGTTCCCTGGTTAAATTAATGATATAAAATAGTGTAAAATTTTTTATTTTTCTTTCTTATATTAAACAGTAATTTTAAAGGTCAAATTCATGCTTTAGAAACTGTTGTTTTGAAACTGTTTCAGCTATTTTCATTTTAGCTTGTTTGCTGTTTACTTTTGCTATTGTGTTTATAAGTTTTAAGGACATAATAAAGCCTTTAACCTAAAGATTTTAAAAATACATTTTAGTAAAAAAAAAAAAAAAAAAGAAGCAACCAGAAGTAAACCAGTACAGTCATGGAGAACTCTGTGTGATGGGAAATCCCAGTTTACTCTTAGGAGGAGGGCAGTGGGGGGGACTGTAATCTGTCCTACAATCCTAAACATAGTTACACATATTTGTGCTTTTGTCATTGAGGAGATTCACATTGGCACAATGTGTTCCCTTTCCCCTTGCTGTAACCCTAAATCTGAAACCCAAGTCTTAACCCTTGAAACGGCCCCTCCACAGTCTTCTTTAAATATTCCTAATTATTGGTTGGCTTCTTAAGTAATGTGTTCTCATTAGAGCAAAATATGGTTGGAAAATGTCAGTTAGCTGGAGGCTTAGTGTGTGTGTGTGTGTGTGTGTGTGTGTGTGTGTGTGTGTGACCTGAAGAAATGTGTGAGTCACATTAGACTGGACGACAGTGTCAGCTTCTTACCTCTGTTGTCTTCATGCTGCATCAAAGATGTAAAGATGAGGACAGAATTGTTAGAATTATTTCATTTCTGAAGGTTTTCCCAAGTCAGAGCAAGGTATGTTCAGCATAGCTTTTTCCAAACATCCCAATTTTTAATTTGGACACCTAAATTATTTTAGTTTGCCCACAGAAACACAATTATTTCACGAAAAACAAAATCAAACTGAAAAGTATAAGCCCCCCGATGATAGAATCGACCTTTGTCTTCAGTTCACCTCACACATTTTCAGTAGGATCAGGGCTTTGTGCTGTAACATCCTTTTGGTCTTTAAAATCTAGTGCTTCATATTTTGGGTCATCGTTGTGTTGGCAGACGAACTGACAATCCAGACCCAGTTTGCTACTGACTGCTTGAAGTTTTCTTTCAAAACTAAATTGATGAAATTCCCAGTTCCAGTTCCATAATACTCCCACCACTGTGTTTCACTATAGGGATGATGTTCTTTGAATTGCATGCCTCTCCCTTTTTTCTCCAAACTCATTCATCATTCATATTATTGTTTCTATTTTGCTAACGATCTGCATCCCCTTACCAATCAAATTATAAACAATGGAGAGCCATGAGTTGGACCAAAATGCGGTCTGTCTTGTCAAGTGACCAAATGCACAGAAATGTCTCAAAGATCGTTTTGCAGTTCACATAACATTTTAATGACTGTATTTGATGTTTTGGTCTCTGGTTTTAAAAGCTATCTTTTTGACTGGCGTTTATCTTTGTTTCCTCTCCCTGTAGGACTGGGACTACTTGATGGGGTCCCATTACCACCGTCAGATGAATTTCTTGCCCGTTGCCACTTCACTGGATGCCAGTGACGGCAATAGTACAGTCACTTCAGAAACTGAAGGCCTGTGCGCTGTATGTACCAAACACTGGGTGAATCCATATACTGCATGTTCTTTGATTCTGTTTGTTTGTTGGTGTATTTGGGCTTAGACATTATGGGTATAATTTGTTGGAATAAGAGTTAATGCTCACAAATAGAGGTGTAATCAACCATACTTCTTCTTCTTCCATCACCACCTTATTTTTTTTCTCATTCAAATTTCCTGATAAAACAATGAGAGATTCCCAGCACACTGATTGTAGGTATATTCAGTATGCCTGCAGACTTTTGTGAACTAGCAAACTTTAGTCATGTTGATTTGACTGACCTTCTTTTGAGTCTCCTTGATTCTGTTTTCATAGCACTGCTGATTTGTATTGCTTTATACACAGAGGTGCTTTCTGTTATTTAGCCTATATTCCTTGCTGACAAAATAGTTGAAACATGAAATATTATTAGAAAAGGGAGCTCAACACTGCAACAATACCACCTTTAATTTGGTTAAAGGAAAACCACAGTAAGTAAAAAATTGTGCAAAGAACATAACACCGAATTTCATTTGGTGTTATTGAAGGGCTGCTGGAGCTCACCTTAACTGTGGGGACAATTCTGGCAAAGAACAGCAAAAGACATTGGCATGCATTTACTTGTAGTCTTCCTGATTGTTTTTGCACGATGTCATGTCAGTATAAGTTTGCTGTTATATCTCCAGGCAATTACAAAATCTCCTGTTACATCCTATTTAACCTGTTCCCCCTTTAATTTAATGTTTCTGCTCTTTCTTTTTGCCACTGAATGTCCTAGGCTTCTTCTCCCCCCAGTCCATCTCTGAAGTTGGACAGTTCAGCTCCTCTGTTCCCTCACATCCCTGCACTCTTCTATGTCCTCCATCTGCTCTATCAGGAACTGCAGCTGGATGAGCTGCAGCGAGCGAGAGCTTCATCACTAGTCTGCCTGCTGCAACAGCTGGCTAGGTAACCATTCTTCTAGCTGTCTGTGTGTGTGTTTGAGGTTTTTATGTTTCTTTTTTCTTGTATAAGGAAAGTAAGTTACATTCAGTTGGCTTTGGCTGTCCAGATGACCGAATCTTTCTATAAGATACTTGTCCAACATTTTTACAAGATACTGTTTATTTTTATGAGGCGTAAAGAAATGCTAGCCTTGAGCTGGGCGACATTTATCAAAACAAACAGAACCTTGTTTAATTTTCCACTGGTGAACTCAAACCACGAGAAGAAAAGAAAAACACACATCATTGTTTTCTGTGAAAGCTTGTGTTATGTGCCATCCATGCTCTTTACTGAGAAATATACTTCAGCAGGTTGTTAAGTGACCTCGGTTATTGGTGACAATGACAGTAACAGAATGGGGAGAGTGGGAGAATGAAGTACTCTTAGAGTAATTGGCCTGTATTGTCAGTATGTGGGTTGTTATGCAAATATGGTTCTAATTTTTGCATTCTCTGTACTTTATTAACTGGTTAAGCTGGTTAAATGATGATTCTGATGGTTTCATTAGGCATTTAACTGGCACGATAACCGTTTTAAATAAGTAATCTCAATGCCTTAAATGAGCAGTTGCTTTAATTCTCTTTGCAGAATTTACAGTGGAGTTTTAGGATGACCTGTTTTTATGTTAAATCTAAAACAACCTGTTAACATAATGTCAAGACATGACCAGTCTGTTTCCTCTGTGCCTGTGAACTGCAGAGACCAGTTTCTTTAGTTTTGAAAGCAAAAATGAATTTCAACTGTTTCAGCTTCAAGGCTAACTCCTAAACTTTTATCATAGAGCCATGCTATTGCATTGCATAATCATTGTGGTTTGTCATTATCTTCCTTAGTCTTGGTTGAAAAGGACACGAGCATATGTTGCTCTAGCAGATCCATACAGATATATTCAACATTAATGGTGCTTTAACAGAATGAACTAGTCACAAATCAACTTTGCAATGTGCTCTAATCCTCGCTCATACCATCATGGATGTGCAGTAATAACAAACCTGATGGTGCTTCTTTAGCCCAGATGATACAACACTTATAGTTCAAAATATATGATAGAATTACCTTCTTTTCCAATTTGATAGTGATGATAAATATTATTCCGAGTTTAACTGTTAACTGCTTTAAAGTGGTGAACCCATGATTGTCAGTTTTGAAAAACTCAGTCTCTCCGTGTTGTTCTTTTTAATTTTTTTCCTCTGGATTAGGTCATTTTTGGTGCAATTCCAAATACATGTAAGCCAGAAAAATCCTCCCTACATTTCCTATAGTGTTATAAATATTTTTTTAAGTAGCTTGGTTATATGAGGCTTCGCTTTACTTGTAATCTAACTAAACACTGTCTTGAAGAGTTTTTTGTCTTAATTGGTCATGTCAAGTATTAATGAATACAGTGTGATATTTATATTCTACTGACTTTTGATATTTGCTTATATATCCATTTGTTAAGTAAATTATGGTCCCTTTTTTAATACTACAGTCTAACTAGGGAAGACTGTGGTTGGAAACTATGGCACAAGTAGAGATCAAAACTAACTGTTTTTTTTTTTGTTTTTTTTTTTTTTTTTTGTTTAATTCAAAACAACTTCAGTGTTTCAGAGCAGTGATAAAACAGCAATAAGATGGAGTCCATCTGCTATCTGTTTGCTGTTGAATGGGGTCAAGTTGGCAATTATATGCAATCTGTGTTGTGTTGTTGGTGACGTTTACATACACACAAATTGCACAGTATAAGTGTTTGGAAGAATCTTAGAGTTTTGAAACAGTAATTCATAAAATCCACCTCAAAAAGTGACATAGTTATTTCAGGACTGATTTAACTGTCAAATGACACAGGTGCTCAGTAACCTGGATTTTATATAGGAATAGAACCTGAATACAGTTGGCAACCAGTTGAGTCAAGAACACTACTGCAAAGAGACACATCACAGATGAGTTGCACTCATTGGCACAGACTGATTCATATTGATTTTTGCAATCTGTTTGCATTTATAAATTAGAAGGCAGTTATTTGCACTTACCTTCGCCTGTGTGTTTGAGAGTGGTTGGAGTTAGTCAACAATGGACCGCAGTTGGTTGGAGACAGGTTTCCTCCCTCAAGGTGACCTTTAGAATTGCTTTGCAATCCAAAATGGTCAGAGTTTTAGGGTCACCGCAACTAATTTGGCTGTTTGCAATCACAGGATAATCACCGGTTTTTTCTTTTTCCTAGTCCCTACAGTGGTTGTTTTTACTCTAGTGTGACTGAACCATTAGAGTCAACAGTGGCGGATACAGCAATGAATAGTCACATTTTGGTCATTGATATATCATTACTTTGACCATACATTGCTCCCCGATTCCTCATAGAACCGCATCTTGTGCATCTCCAGTTTCAAAACATGAAGAATGCAATGGGGGTATTCTCATCTCGAGGCTTTATGGCAGCCATAGCCAACTTCCAGTTACAGTTTATCATTATCATTAATTAATATAGACGCTTAAAAAAAGAACCAACTTAGAGAAGGAGCACAAGACATGGCTAGAAGTAGAAGAAATAAAGAATTCAGATGAAAAAGATTACAAACCTGGATAACTGTACACTCCTTACTCCCTGTGCAAAGTGCACACACAGCTAGAATCTGTAGGAATAAGGGGTTTGTACCAAGATTAAAAAATATTGATTATCTGATGCTAAGCTGAAAGATAATGATTCATTGCTGTTAATTACTTTCACTGTGTATTCAATTACAACCTGAAACACGTTAAATGTCACAGAGGCTATTTGAGCCATTTTTAGACTTTTCTTAATTACTTGCAGCAATTTAGTCTAAAGCTGTGCAGTGAAATATGCATGTGTGAGTCCTAGTACATGTTAGACTTAATAACCCATTGATAGAAGGTTATAAACCTTATGTTCTTCTAAGTAGAAAAAAAAATACTGTTAAAGAATGCTAATGTATGTTTGTTTCTGTTTGCAGAGATCTTCAGCTTGAAGAGTATGTGGATCTGTACTGGAGAGACTACCCTTCAATAATTAGTGGCTTCACTGAGAGCTGCTTGATAGACCAGGGTAAGGCTTATTTAATTGTCTGTAACATTATCAAGTCAGGAAACGGACAAGACATGTTAAACAGGAGGATGGATGGTCTGCTGCTGGTAAAAGCTGTTTTAGCAGCCTTCCTTTGTATTTCTTGGACTCCTAAAGGTGCTGCAAATGTAAACAAATGCAAAATAAATTTGCATGACGAGGCACTGTAACGTGTAATCTTCCCTCAGTCCAGCTGTGGTTTTCAAAAACTGAGCTAGCTTGTCAATTGTTGGATTGTGTGTTGGTGTGTTGGTGTTGTTGGTTTTTTTTTTTTTTTTTTTTTTTTTTGTTTTTCTTCTTTCTAAATATGAGATGAGTGTAATGTTACCTTATGTAGGCTAAGTGGTGATTGGTTCACAATATTCCAATCATTTGCATTGCTGTTATGAGATAGAGCACCATTGAACAGAGGAATAGTTTTTTACACGCTTTTGAGGCCATTGCACAGTTTGTTTCCGCAGGGGTGGACTTTCCTGCTTCCTGGTAATTTCCTGCTTGTGACTGACCCGATTGGTTTTGAGTGTGAAATTCTACCGATGGGCATTCCCAACACATAGCGCTTAAAATTAGTCTGAATATAAACAAGGTTTAGTTAAAAATAAAGACTTAGTGCGGGGGAAGTTTTCTTGTTGTCACTTTAAGTTTTCGTGACAGATGTCCTAAAAATTATGTGAACACCTGTCAGGTGGTTATTTGCTTTGTGACACGGATACTTGCAGGGTTGAATATAAAGTGTTGCTGTTAAGGATGAAGTGACATAACCATCCAGCTCCCTTTTATCTCTTGTTCTTTTACCTCACCCACCACCTTTCTCCCTCCTCTTCCTCACCTGGCTTTTCTTAGCACTGATTTGCCAAATGCAGCGGCCGTCTTTCCTGAGACCAGAGCCTCCCTGTGTGTTCAGCTGGCTCAGTAGCTGCTTAAGAGGAGAGGAGAGCCCACCTTTCCCCTACCTGCCGGGTATCTGCCAGAGGACCAGACTGCTGGTTGTGGTACGATTAAAGCACATCTGTCATTTTATAAAATAACTTTCTTCAAGTATAGTGAGTGTAGCTTACTATCTATCTATATATCTCCAAGAAGTTAATGCCGTCCGTCTTTCCTTTTTCTAAACTTGCTTTATAGAATTGTTAGAAAGCTGCAATTAATGAACCGTATTTCCTTACCTTTTTTTCTTATTTCAAAAATAAAATATTAAGCACCACATGTGCAGGTGACACTCAGGCATTTGTACTTTCGCAGTGTAAAAATGATGTTGCTCTTCCCTTTTTTTGCATAGAAATGGATATGCAGTGCTAAATAAGAAGGGCCTAAGTTTTGGTGCTTCATATCACTCTTAAAAAGACAGTAGTCAACAGAGAGACATGGATACAACATTGGTCATATTATCATGTTTGTTCAAATATTTGTTCACAAATTTATGTGCTTTGATTATGACTGTGGCACAATTTTTCGTTACCGTGTACTGGCTCATATTTCGATGCGCACAGTATCTCCTGAATCTGCAGTAGGAAGAGTAAAGTAAAGTGTGAGAGCACTCTAGGTCCCCTCCTTGTAAGCCTAAATGCCTCTTGATTAAAGGTTTTCCCCTTCACCACTTAGTTCTTCACTCCATCCTGTTCTGAGGTTCATATTCATCCATCAAAAAGCTTTGATCACATCAGTTCATTGCAGTTCACAGAACAGTTTTATTTAAATTATCCCTTTCTTTTTTCTTTAGAAAAAATAACTGCTCTTCACTGGAAATGTCAATATTTATTTTTTTATGCAGTAAAAATCTATACTGTGCAAGTGTTTTTGTATCATATTTACATCTCTTCTCTTAACCTTTTTTCCAGAGTTATGCTCTCTATGTCATTGGAGATGAAAATGCTACTTCAACAGATGTATCCAAGTACCTAGCCAAACTTTCTGCAGGTTTGTTAGTGACTAACCTTTAAGATCATTTTCTTGCATGCTGCACTGTGTGTTTCTCTGTGGGTATGCATGTTTGGGTTCATTTATTGACAACCACCCCCTATTACCTGCCAGTCCCCTGCCTTCATGCTTCAGGGCCCAGTAGCACAGAAAGAAAGATGAGTGACGCAGGTTTGTGTGTCACCTGATTTCCTTTGTGTTTATTTCAACAAAAAACAATACAGCGCTAAGGTGACAGCTGTTGCTGCAGGTGTTGGATGAACTTTTGCCTTGACTTGGACACTGGCTTTGTGTGAGAGATGCTTGAGAATCCAGAGTGACTTTTTGAGCACTATGTTGCTATTTTTAATAAACAGATGCCATCCCACACAAACACAATCCCACACTCATCAGGAACAAAATGTCGCCTTTATTTTAACCACTCATTTTAATGTTCTTTTTTTTTTTTGGTTACAGTTTTTACTACAGATTTGAAAATGCTTTAATATATTTACGGTATTTTTTGGACCATAAGGCATACTGTTGACGAACAGGTCTGTTTTCATACATAAGGCGCACTGGATTATAAGGCACAATAAGCGAAACAAAACAGTCAGATATGTCAAACTTTACTCATTCTTGCTTCCTGGCAGCACAGTGACATGGTACTGATAGCACTGTTGTCTCACAGCAAGAAGGTCCTGAGTTCAATTCCACCATCAAGGCCGGGGTCTTTCTGCATGGAGTTTGCATGTTTTCCCTGTGTTTGCGTGTGTTCTCCCGGTACTTCGGCTTCCTCCCACCATCCAAAGACATGCAGTTTGTGTCTCTGTGTGTTAGCCCTGCGACAGACTGGCGACCTATTCAGGGCATACCCCGCCTCTCGCCCTATGACAGCTAGGATAGGCTCCAGCGCCCCCCGCGACCCTGAAAAGGATAAGCAAATGAATGGATGGATTCTTGCTTCCTCCACTTCCGTACCATTTATTCATCAATGCTGAATTCTCTCGAAGCTGCTCTATTCCCATGTTGTTGCAGTATATTAATGACTAACCTCGTATTGTGGATGGGTTATCTCAGTTGTTCTCCTGACTGAAGTTTAGTCCGTTTACAGCATACCGGCCATGCGATTGCATTTTCCCCTAACCATCGAGAACCCTCACGTTAATTTTTTTGGAGTGGAAAAAAGTTAGCGTTCATCCTTCAGCTTTAATTATGCTAACATAGCTGTCTCGCTAGCGATCACGTAGCACATCATTATATACCAGCTAGTCCAACTTCAGTAACCCTACAAACGTCACTGCTGTTTAGTTTTCTGTCTTTGTTTATGTTGGAAGTGATAGCAGAGCTGTACATTTTAATTTTTTCAGAAATCTCTCAGTTATAACATGCTATATCATGTTTAGGTGGAAACTAGCAAGGTTACTTCCTGCTAACCTCCAGCCCTGTTAAATTTAATACATTGTTTTCATGGATGCCTGGATGTTAAACTTAATTGTTACACCTGGTAAAGCAGCAACGCTGATCATCTTATTAAAGCTGAAAGAATTTATGGTTTTTAACTCTCACTGATGCTGCAGTGTTCATTGGACTTTGGGTCCAAAACTCCATCCTCTTAAGGTCCCAGTCTGCGAGGCCCCTGACTACGGTAGCCGTAATGCTCCGACAATCCATCTAGCGGTGTGGCTTCGTAGCGTACCAAAGTTGTACTAAAACATTTTGACAGATTTTTCAGCGCTGTATGCCACATAAAATTGGTTCGAGGTCAGTAAGCACAACCAGAATTCATACATAAGGCACAGCGGATTATAAGGCACTCTTTCAATTTTTGATAAAATTAAAGGACTTTAAGTATGCCTTACAGTGCAGAAAATACGGTAAGAGCTGCAAAAAGAGTGCCAAGCCTGATTTGTAAATTCATTGACCTGTTTTCCTTGCTGCTGATCTTCCTCACCCCCCTCTCTCATTTTCATCAGGCCAGAAATCCTCTGTCACTGAACCCCAAATAAGAAGGTAATTCATCTGACAGAAACATGAGCAAGAGCTTTTAAATTTCTTCTTTTTTTTTCTTTTAAGGCATTGAAACACCTAAAATGAATTCTGACATACCAGCACATTCTTTTGTATTATTTTTCTGTTTGTTAATATACCCCTAAAGGTCAACTTGTAAAAATCTTATACCCAATAACAGTTAAAGTTTTCCGTTAATTTCTCTTGTATGTATGTTTTCTAGACAGAGCAGTGTTAAAGTGATGTCCTCCAGTGAAAATCTGGCTGAGCAGCTGGTGGTCTGGCTCACCTCACAGGGTAAGAGAAGTATGTCTCTTAAAAAAAAAAGAATCTATATTCAGAAAGGAATGTTGAAGCTATATCCTCTTTTTCGCCACCACAGTGGTTTACATGCATATTTACACATTCACACCTGTCCACTGAAACCAGTCTGTGAACCTGAATGTGCTTTCTCACTGCTGGGTGACATGTTTGCTGTGTGAATAAAGGTTTTAATATTGGTTTTTAATATAAGTGTGCTTCTTAAATCTTTTTATTTTAAAATGGGTAATGTAACCTATGATATTTTAGTTGTTCAGCTGTGAGCTGACAATAGTATAAAGCATGTACATACAACAGTTGTAGCAGCTTTTGAGTTTCACCCACCTGTTTGTGTGTATTTATGTTAGCGCTCAAAGGACACTGCCTCTGTTTCTAAAAAACTGTGCATTTTTCACTGGTTTAGGTTTCACCCTGAAAGATTTGGAGTCGGTCCCCTTTGGTGTGGCTTTGCCTATTAGAGAGGCAATCTATCGGTGCCGTGAGCAGCCGTGTTCTGATTGGTCAGAGGAGGTCTGTCTTCTGATTGGAAGACAAGATCTTACCAAACAAGCCCACAAAATGACCCTTGCCAAGAGCAAAGCTGTGAGTGTAAAAAAAACTTAAAACCTAAATTATTTAGATAAAGATGGAGTTCAGTGTCTGCAGATTCTAAAATAGGAAAGTAAGTTTTCAAAGTTTTGGTTCTTTTTTTGGCCAAATAATTTGTGTGTTTCTCCAGTCTGTAAGTTCAGGCCTGTCCTTGGAACCTCCTGCAACCACAGAACCAGATGAGGAGGAGGATGGGATGTCAGACATTGTTCAAGAGGTAAACAAATTCATAAACATGTTTATATATTTTTTGTTAGTAGTGTGTTCTGTAGAAAAAATTCAGATATTTATGTCTTCTTCTCACTAGGTCACAGGACTGATTTGGAGTCAGGATCTGAGGGTCCAAGAGGTCAGGAGGCTTCTGCAGAGCTCCAGACCTGTCCGGGTTAGTGTTGTCCAGCTGCCAGAGGTGTCTGACCATGAGTACATAGAGGAGAAAGAGAACAAGTGAGTATAATGCATGCATTTGTCATGAACATCTTTGGTCTTGAAACAGAGACAGCAAAACACCAGTTCTAAAAAGGCATATGCAGTGTATATTTCTGTACTGTTCTGCGTTTCCTTTCTTCTCCCCTAATCTGTGTGGTAAACTTATTGGCCAGTTGGCATTTTTTTAGAATCTGTGATGTTTTTATAGTTTTTATCACCTGCCCTGTCCATGTCCTTGCCTTCTATAGACTCCTGCAGCTGTGTCAAAGGACCATGGCCCTGCCAGTTGGCAGGGGCCTCTTCACTCTCTTCTCTTATCACCCAGTACCGACTGAACCTTTACCTGTCCCAAAACTCAACCTCACAGGTATTTTAAGTTTTCAGTTAAAAAATAAAATCTACTGGAACAAGTTGAAGAGAATGTGGAAATTTGTAAATGGTTCATTTAACAGGAAGATAAAATTAGTTTGTGCAATAATAAAAGCTGTTGCAGTACAATTTATCACTGTCCTAGAGGAAACATAACTTTCCAAAAAAAGAAAAAACATTGTAATTATCTTTGCTAAATCAGGAACAAAATATTCCAAAGTTTAAGAGGATTAACGATTTAATAACTACATGCATTTGCAGATTATTTCCCATTTTTATTTTTCTTCCTCAGGCCGTGCCCTTCCGAGGAATACTGTGGTAGATCTGAACAGCGGAAACATTGATGTTCCTCCCAATATGACTAGCTGGCCCAGTTTTCATAACGGAGTAGCTGCTGGGCTTAAAATAGCCCCTGCCTCACAGGTGAGACTGAAATCATTGCATGTTTAATCAATCAGTCTGTTACTTAGTAAATACCCCAAAATGTTAATGTTGACAGGCCTATAAATGTTTTTAAAAATTAAATTTTTATTTTTTATTATTTTATTAGTATTTTTCTATTAGCTCTACCTGTAATTCTGTAGAATAATTTTAATTAAAACCCGCTAGCTTGTTCCACAGCTTCAGTTTTATCCAACCTTAAATGTAAAACATTTTACATTGCTTATTCAACATCGTGTTTATTTACTACTTACCTATTTCTAATGTCATTGTTATGTTAAACTGGAGAGTATTGAAAAAATATGATATTGATGCTAACAGATTTAAGCATTTGATGAATATTTATTTATACTGTTCAGCTGGTTTTAGCTTTTAACTCTGGCTAAAGCTACTGTCATTGTGTTCCTTCATAATTAACAAGAATGGAGACTTCCAGGGTTTTGGTCCGATTTCAGCGAATCTTGCACACAACGATCACTTAATGGGCATTAGAGTAGTTGTACGGGTAATAACTGTGAATGGAACGTGAGCCATATTAGTTACAATGTCACTGTTGTTCTAGTTTGAGTGTCTTTTATTCTTTGGCCAGTGTAATGCTAAATGGATATTAAAACTGAGCACAAATAAAATATTCTAATAATTGTAAATACTCAAAAAACCTCATTCTCTTGCAGCAAAGACATTTATTAGTGTTATACCAATAAATATAGTTTAATTTTGTTTTTTGTTTTTAAGGTGGACTCAGCCTGGATTGCCTACAACAAGCCAAAGAGCCCTGAGCTGGCTAATGAGTATGCAGGCTTCCTTATGGCGTTGGGACTCAATGGACACCTCACCAAGTTGGCCACGCTGAACATACATGACTACCTCACAAAGGTGCACACCTGTCTACACACAGGCTTACATGTGCTGGAACAATTTCAGTATTTCTTTGCTATGTTGAGTTTTACAGCAGAAAGCAAGAAGTGTGCGTAAGTACATGTATAACACTCTACACTCAAAGAATACTTTGTACTTTAAATGCTCAGTTTAGAGCCGGTTGTGCTCAAAATTTTGTTTTCTTGCAATAATTTAGAGCTCCCGCTTCTGTCACACGCCCAACTTACAAAGAACAATAAGATGAAAACAAATTTGAAGTTAAATACAGTTTATACATATGCGTCATAGCTTGGCAGCTAGTCAAAGTGAAACTTTCCCTTGTGAGAACTTAGACTTGAGACAACTCCTTCCAACTTTCGGGTGAGAAAAACAACAGGATGTCGCAAGCCAAATCGTTTTTTTTTTTTTCTAAATTCAAATGTCTCTGTGAAAGGGTATTTGAAGATTGATTGCTAAGCCTTTGAACCTCATCCATACTGAGTATCCACGCTATGTTTAAGACTGATTCATTTTCATTTCCTCGTTTTGAATTTTGATTTTTGTGTAAATTTAAGCTGTGGTTGATGATAATCACAGTTATTTCCCTGTATTAGTCATTGTATGAATGCAATATAAGTCTGCTCAGTCCTAATTGTGTTCTACACCATGTCCTCCTATTTTGAGTTTTTTTTCCCCCCTCTGCATTTACATGGTAATGTTTTTCACTGCAAATTTTTATTGTATGCGTTTAATGTTTAATTATATTGTTGGTATAAAAACCGTAATGGTGAATCTTGGAACTCAACTGCCCTAATATCGAGATTTCACCAGTATATATTTCTTTTATTTTAAATTATACTCTTTAAAATAGCTTTATAGTATCTCATTTATAGTCTCCTAACTAATTGATCTTTTAAAATAAAGCCTCAGAAATAAATATCCACAGCTCGACACACAAGAATGAACTAATCAGATGCAGAGAGTTGATGGTAAAATATGTCACAGCTTCCAGTGTGAATGAAAGCAATGAACGTGGTTGAAGCGTGTTTGTTGCTAGTGGTTTTTTGACAGTTTCTATTCTTGCTGTGATAGAGAATTGCATACTGAAGATCTGAATTCATTAGAATTGTTTATGACTGTGGTTTTAAAAAGAATTTGGGGTGATGCCATTCACCTTTTAAACATTCCAGTTTGCGTCAGTGTTTTACAAGCAAAAACTGTGTCATTGTATCTAGTTTTTCAGTTTGTATTTTAACTTGTATTTGACCCATGATTTTCGACATCCCTGGAAGAGAGCAACTCATATTTTACAATTTCATACAAGGTCCCAGCGGTTATCTTCACAAACTAGTAAATGGTTAATCATCATTTTCTGAGCTTTTTGTCTACATTGTCATTCAATACAAGAATATTTTCATTTACTTTTAGTCAAATGATAATATGATGTCTAAATTTTGAAGGCTAAGGAAGGCTGTCCAACAGATGGCCTCTTACTTCATGGCATGTGTTCACTATGTACGGCAATCACCTATTTCATGCTGTTTGTGTTAAAACATGTTGTGGTCGGTCAAACAAATGTGCACACAGGGGTCTAATGAAAACTGTCTGTCATGATCTCAGATACGAGAGTCACAGATCAAGCCAGTTAGACTGCATTTTTTTTTTTTTAGTGCAAAAGAGCATGCATTACACTGCATTTTCAATAAGTAATAGTCTAAATTTTATTAAAAGTGACTACTATTTGAAGAGAAGCTGTTTGATAATATTTCTCTACTGTTAGCTTTTGCTAGGTGTATGAAATATTAGAAAGTTGTTGTTTATCACTGATAATTGCAGATGCAGTTTTTATTGTGATTTAATGTCTGGGTGTCTCTGTCTCTCAGGGCCATGAAATGACCAGCATTGGGCTCCTCCTGGGTGTGTCTTCAGCCAAACTGGGCACCATGGACATGTCGATCACTCGCCTACTTGGCATACACATTCCTGCCCTTCTCCCGCCCACTTCCACTGAGCTGGACGTGCCACACAATGTTCAGGTAAGAGTGAGTACGTATAAAGAAGAAGATAAAGCTAATTTCGATTAATTCCGTCTTCACAGGGGGTGGCCCCAGCAGGTAGTGCTGCATGTTTGATTTGTCAGATTTTCACGCTAGATGCCCTTCCTGTCGCACCCCCGAAGAGATTTCTTTTTATCTTCCCTGGATGATCATTCAGTTCTTCATCTGTTTTTTTTTTTCTTTGTTTTTTCTTTTTCTGTTACAGGTTGCAGCTGTAATTGGCATCGGGCTGGTGTACCAAGGAACGGGCCATAGACACAATGCTGAAGTCTTGCTGTCTGAGATAGGTGTGTGCGCAAAAGGGAGACAACACAATGGGAAAAAGTTCCATAAAATTACCTAAAAGTTTAAATCGGATACATTAAAAGCTGTTAATTAAAGAGCTGGATATGAATTTCACTGAAGTAAATAAACAGTATTTTATATATGTAACACCTTGAAAAAAAAGTGCTCAATATAATTTGGGTTTTGGGCTATTATTTAATTGCCAAATGCATGTTTAATGGATAGGTGTCTCTCAAACTGCAAGAAAAATACTCTGTTTTCTTGAATAGACATTGTAAACAGTCAGGTTAGAAGTTCTGCTTAAGCTCTGTTGCTCCATTTTAAACTCTGCATCCAGTCTCACTGTTGAACTTTTATTTTTACTTTAATTAGATTTTTCTTGCCATGCATAGATGGTAACTTTTGGTCTGTCTGTTGTTCAGGTCGACCCCCTGGACCAGAGATGGAATATTGTACAGACAGAGAGTCCTATTCGTTAGCAGCTGGGCTCGCTCTTGGTATGGTCTGTCTGGGGGTAAGACAAACAAAAAAACATATATATATATATGAATATACGTTGCCATTTTCCATTTGTTTGGTGCAATAGTAACTAATTAAAAAAAAAAAAAAAAGTAACAGCTTCTCACAAAACCCGATTGTTATGTTTATTTTTTTGTACACATACATTTTTTTCTGTTATAAAGCCACATAAGTTCTTTTAAAAGTTCCTTGGATACCTGCTCACTTCTGTAAGAGAAACCTCAGATCATAATATTGTCAGGTGTTAATGATGCTTGAAGCCCAGTAATAAAGGGACAAAACCCAAGTTCAAATATTGGTTTTCTTTGACATCTATAAGATAAGATAAGATAAGATAACCTTTATTAGTCCCACACGTGGGAAATTTGTTTTGTCACAGCAGGAAGTGGACAGTGCAAAAGTTATGAGGCAAAAATTAGAATACAATAAGAATAAATACAGTACACAACTGTACAGAATAGAATAAAATAAAATACTATATACAATAGAATAAAATAAAATAAATATACAATAAGATAAAAATAGAATACAAATACAAATACTATATACAACTGAGTAAAACTGTCTCTGCAGGTCTCTTGTTTGTTATCTCTACTCTCATCCTTTTCTGTCCTGCACTTACCTTGCTTGTGCTTCCTTCCCCTTTCTCCTCATAGCATGGCAGCAACCTGATTGGGATGACAGACCTGAATGTCCCTGAGCAGTTGTATCAGTACATGGTTGGGGGACATCGCAGAGCTCAGGCTGGGGCCAACCGGGAGAGGCACAAATCCCCCAGCTACCAAATCAAGGTACATGAAAGAAACCCTCTTTTTTTTTTGTCTACAGTGTAGCAGTGTTATTTCAATGCGATAAAATAATACTGAAGAATGTGACTGTATAACTACTAAAGAATTTTACCATACAATAAGAACTGCAGCTCAAAAACTATGTCATGGTTCTTCATATGTTCAGTCTGTGCTGATGTATTGTTTTTTCCCCACTAATAGGAAAGGATTTGGTAAACAAATCTTCATGAATTTTATTTTCCATATTCGTATTAGTTGAGGTTTGTTCTCAGTTTATTGTTGTCACATGTGCCAATGTCAAATGTGTAAGAAAACTCTAAAGTAGCACGAGTAAACAATATTGCATTAAATAAACTATCCCAATTGCAAAAGCTAATTGTCATATTTAATTATGTAGGTGTGAAGGGGTTTTGCAGTTGGGACACACCTCTCTTTAGATGAAGTTTGACCAAATGATTTGATGAAACAGTGGTCTGGCTTCTGTGATTAGCTAATTAACCTTACCAATGGTCATTTCAGGAGGGTGACACTATTAATGTAGATGTGACATGTCCAGGCGCTACGCTAGCCCTCGCCATGATCTACCTCAAGACCAACAACAGGTGAGAGAAAAAAGGTTTTTACATTTTTGTCTCCAAAATAAAATAAAAAAAGTTTTGATATGAAAATAGGTTTATTCCATGTCTTGGAAAGGCGACTTAAAGACTTCTGTTTTAGATTTATCTCCTTTCTACTGACCTCCTAAAATTTGTAGGCATACTCTTCATGGTGTGACAAAACAATCTAAAAAGAGATACTCTGCTGACAAGTGTTTTATTTTATTAGGAGAAACAGAACTAGATAGAATAAACTGGGGAAAAAAACATAAAAATATTACATTAAATATTTACCCCCCAAAAAATGTAATACCGGTGTTATAGAATTAGAAGTAGCAAACTGTTCAAGGGGCACAGAATCTTTCCACCATAATTACTCTGTAATGCTGGTGGGGTGTTTCTTTAAAATGGCCAAAATGTCCTGTGCTGTGTTCGACTTTCTAACCACTTCTTGCCCACGTGAACCGTAACTGGAGCACCATAGCCTATTTGATGGAAAAAATAGTGACATTACACTACATCAGACTGAGACTCCTTCAGTTTCTAACAGTCTAATGGTCAAGAGGTTCTTTAAAGCTTATCTGCTATCTGTTGTTTGAGAGGGTGCTGAAAGAAGGTATTAACACTCCCTTTTCTCATCATGGTTTCGCCCACTAGGTCGATTGCTGATTGGCTGAAACCTCCAGATACTTTGTTCCTCCTGGACTTCATTAAACCAGAGTTTCTGCTGCTGAGGGTTAGTGTGGATCTAGCTCTGTGTGTTTCTGTGTGTGATCTTTTTTCCCACCTTTCTATATTTTAATCTGATATACCTGTGTCTCTGCTTCTTTTCTCTCTACCCCTAAAGACTCTGGCCCGGTGTATTATCATGTGGGATGAAATCCTGCCTAATACTATCTGGGTCAAGAGTAACATCCCACAGGTGAGAACAAGCACACCACACACACACACACACACACACACACACACACACACACACACACACACACACACACACACACACAAAGAGGAACAAGTGGACATGTTTGGAGCCATGATGCCACACACCCTGCAACAAATCAACAACTTGCAAAGAAAATCCCATTTGTGACGTGTGGTTTTGTGTGGATGGAGGCAGGTTTACCCTTTTTCAGTTAGCTAATTTAGCCAATTCTGGTGGCTTATTTTTTGGAAGATGCACTGATATTGGTTCTTGGTAATTGCTGTAACAGCATAATGACTCTAGCTACATTCTGTTAATAAAAGCATTTCCCCTGGTCTGTAGTTGTACTTTACTGATGCACCCAAAGACGGATGGGTAGTTTACATGAGCAGAAATGGCGTCAGTGGATAAACAAGAAAAAGGCTATTTCTAAAAACAGAAAAGTTATCTGAGCAAAATACAACTTGGAAACATCTTAGAGATGTTTCAACAAACGACTGGGAGAGTAAACATTAAAAAATGTCCAACGTGTATATGTAAATATAGTTATAGAACAGTGAAAACCTGTGTGGCCGCTAGGCTTGAGAAATGGCAGGAAAATAAGCCGTGTCTGATAACACTGTGAATAATTACAGTGACTTTAAAACAAATAGTCTGCATATTAGCCTTTAACTTCCTATGTCCTTATAGGCTTACTGATAACATAAACTCAGATAAATTTGACCAAGGCCAAAATTCTATCTGTAAATCAGCCAAGCATTTACCTGTAGATGTGGATAGTTTATTGCAGTGTTTGTTGCTTGATATCTTCATGATGAAGAAAATTCAATGTATTGGTCAGCAAAACTGCCAGAAATATTTTCCCCTTGGGAACAGTATCAAATAATTAATTCAGGCTTGTTCTGCCTTTTTATGACAAAAAGGAAAAAATAATCCCATACTTTTAATCTTTAATAACATAAATGTATTCCATTTCATGTTTTTTTCCCCTGTCAAATAGATAACTAAAAAGACTGTCAGCATGATAGCATTCAACTCAGTTTAGTTTCACTCCCATCTTTTATGTTTTTCTTCTGGTTGTCCACGCCCCCCTGCAATGACTTTATCCCCCAGTAGGGGGGCCCACCCCCACAGTTTAAGAAACACTGCTACAATGTAATTTACACCACTGGATATAAATATGTAAAACTACATTTTTGTGGTTTGTATTTTGAATGGCAATAAATACTAGTAACTAGAACCTTGGCACACTCAAAACAGGTTATTGCCCTTCTAATTAGGTATGAATAGCTGCATTATAGTCAGCAATATACAGAGATTTATGCTTTAATATCTTTTCATTCCTTCCATCCATTTTCTTAAGTTCACCCTGTGCAGTGTCATGTGCTAGCTGGAACCTATGCCAGCTGCAACAGGACCCAGGCAGGGTACATCCTGGACAGCTTGCTGCACAACCAGTAGAGAGAGAGAGACAGGCTAATTTACAATCACCAGTTAACTTAACCTAGCCCCAGTAACTGCATGTCTTTGGATTATGGGATGAAGCTGGCCACACACAAACATGAGAGAGCAAGCTAACTCTAAACCACTGTCACCTTACTGCCTATGATTTTTCTTTTGCCCTTTCCTCCCTGATGTTTACTTTCTATTTCCATAGTTTTATCATGAGAATTTTGTGAGTTTTCAGTTAATTTAGCAAATAAATACTGTCAAAAGTATTATTTCTGAAACCTGACCACTCATGTCTATATTTTGTTTTCAACTTTCATTTTGTTTTCAGATCATGAGAGGGACTTTTGACCCTTCAGAGGACATTAACATGGAGACGATGGCGTAAGTATTGAAGCCAAAAACATCAACTCATGTTATACATTTGAATTCTGCTAATTGATTGTATTTGTTTCTCTTAGCCAAGCCCAAGACTACATTACAGCTGGGGCCTGTTTGGCACTTGGTTTACGGTTTGCTGGCTCTGCCAACTCTGATGCCTTTGACTGCCTTTATAGCTTGGCCAGGACCCACATGACAATCATGTCCTTTGCTGGTACAGCTGCTGTGGGTGCTGTGAGTGTTTTATATTTTTGACTTTGTTAACAGTAAGAAACAATGTTGTGCTACCTCATCTACTTACAGTTAAATTATTTTCTCTTTGATTTCTTTTTCTTCCCTAGCACACATTTTACAACCTCCAGACCTGCCTGTCAATGATTCTGCTGGCTATGTCCATGGTGATGTCTGGTACAGGAAACCTGAAGGTCCTGCAGCTTTGTCGTTTCTTCCACAAGCGGACTGGTGGTGAAATGAACTATGGCTTCCACATGGCTCATCACATGGCACTGGGTCTGCTCTTTCTGGGAGGAGGCAGGTGAGATGGGAACAACCAAAATATGGCCATTTTCCCAATCCTATTGAAATTTATTAAAATATATTCCTTATTGCAAGTGAAGAAAACTAGTATAAAACTATAATACATTTGAATTCATATCAATTGTCAATTATCTATTCATAGCTGAAGTGCATTTTCAGGCCAAAAATCAAAAGGCTTTTGTCAAGTTGCTTTGGGGAAAGGGTAGAGCGGCCGGTAAAGCAATTTCTGTAATTACTGAACTTGTGTTTTTACTTGAACATAAAGATCAGGCTGGTTTTCTTGTAGTTAGCCTAACTCTTGGCTAGCAATGGCTTACTCTGTCCTAAATAACTTTTTGATGAGGTGACAAATATTCTAGTCTCTAAATATTAAATATAGGTTGTTTTTTTATTGGCTTTTTTTAAATCATTTTTGTTTCCAAAAAGCATCAACTAGACCATTTGCTGCATTTTATTTTCAGCTGTAGATGAATACATATTTAGTGTTGTACTGATGATATCTTAACAACGGTGGCTCCAGTATTCAAGATACTGGAGAAACATCTCACACAATGAAACAATGTGGTTCTCTGATGTAGATTTTTCTGAAAAACTGTAAAGCTTGGAAGTACAGTAGTAATAAATATAACAGTAAGAAGAAAAAACTGTACAATATACTCATAGATAAATGCAAATGTTTACATACATAAAATCATTTCAAGACTATACAACAGGCAAGGTACCAACAAGGTGGGCATTAGGGATGGGTATCGTTTAGGTTTTATCCGATACCGGTGCCAAATCGGTACTTTTGAAACGGTGCCGGTGCTTAAACGGTGCTCAAACCGGTGCTTAAAGAATGGAGAACACAAACTTTGTCCAAAAACCTCTCATGTTCAGCTGGGTTTTTTTGTAAAAAGATAACAATGTTAGCCTTTTCTGCAGCTATGTGGCATATATGGCATCACTCTTGGCTGGAAGCAGAGCTTAAACAATGGAAAAAACACAAACTTAAACCCTCTCATGTTTAACTGTTTCCCACTTTTTCTTTGGTCATTTTAGCCTTTTTGGCCAGGGTGAAGGGAGTATCTGCCATCAAACAAGAGGACAGCCGCATGTAGCTATGATGATGTTTGCTAGTTCACCTTACATGCATTAATGTAATAATGTGGTTAGCCTACTCAACGTAAATTACACACGAACAACATGAAGCTACTCACGCAGAGAAGAACGGCTGCTGCTGCATCATCATCCGTCATCATTTCTGCTACACTGACAGGGCTAGGGGCCAGGACTCTATTCTTCGGGTTTTTGGGGGATGTTGCTCCGGGTCCGATAACTGGCAACCCACCCGACGTGCACGGTGTGAGGTCTCGCAGCAAGCTATCAAATACGGCGCATTTCTCGGCTTTTAAAAAAACCGCTATGCGTCGCCAGCTGTTTAATCGGATTCTTGGTGTTACCTCCTTTGACAGTATCACAGTATCAGCTTAAAGCACTTGTTGCAGGCTGCTGAGTTTGCATATTTTGCTGTGAAGTACAGCCAGACTTTTGACCGCTTCGCCTTGGACATTTTTAATCTGTAGCTCTGCTCTAACAGAACGTACGTACCTGGCCCCGCCTACTATCCTCGGAAACGTAAAATGATTGGCTAGAAGTGAATCACAGCTCAGGAAAAAAAAGCACCGAAATAAAGCACCGAAATGTGCGCTGCTTTTCGGTCTGGTTACTACCGTTTATGTCAGAACCGGTGCACCGGTACCCATCCCTAGTGGGCATTGTTTTAAACTTCCACAACAACCTCTAAGTAATCATGCTTCAAAAAATAAATACACACACACACACACACACACACACACACACACACACACACACACACACACACACACTCTTTGATGTTGCTCATGCTTCTTGAATGAAGGAAGACACTGAGGTTTGAGTTATATTCTGTATGTAGGCTGTCATATGACACCTGAATTGAACAATTGCATGCATTCATCCATCCATCTATGCATGCAAACCCACACCCACCCTGCTTTTTTCTGGGAAAGACCATATGCAACACGTACACATGCACAGTGTGAGTTAGCCACACAAATACAAAAAAGTCTGCTTTGAGTGCTGTGTTCCACATAATGAATGACATTCATGCGCACATGTGCACGCAAACACACACCCAAGCCAGGTTCCTCAAACCGCTGACCCTGGTCTGTGTATTTTGAAGAGAAACAACAGCTCCCACTCTTTCATCACATTCTGCAAAAACATCTCTCCACCTACAGCCATAATCAGATGGACCTTTTCATTTCATTCAGGTCACATTTTATTTTAGACCTGCCAGCTGAAAGCCCACACACTGTAAGGACTGCAGGTTTGAATGCTCTGCACGATAGCATATATTTTCATAAGCAGTTTGTCTTGTGTCATTTCAGAGAATGTAGGTCATGCTGGGTAGCAGAGTCATGCTATTTCACTGTCACTTTTCCTGCAGTCTCGCTGTCTGCTCGTATGTCATTTAGTTTCTCTGTTTCCATTGAAAATGTCCTGCTCACATTTGCTTTCCACTTATTTAGCAGTTATCATTACATCATGGCCCTTCTTTTTTTCCTCATTCAATTTCTCACGTATGTTTTTCCTATTTACGTTTGGTCTCTTTATTTGGTGATCCTTTTTGTTCTTTATTTCCCCTTTCCTCAACCTCTCCTTCTTTATTTACTTATTTAATTTCCTCTTCCCATTGGATCTCAATTGAGATAGAGCTTGGTAATTGTCCCCCAGTAGGAAACTGAAGTGACGCAAACTGTGTCTGACACAGCTGGATTTCACATTGAATAATTTTTAAACTGTCACCTCCCTAGTACGAAGGCTGTTTGATGTCTGATTGGCCCCATGTGATAACTGGCCAGATATTGTGAGCCAGTGTTCATTTGCCCTACACAGTTCACCCTACAGCACCTTTATTCTGCCTCAGATGTTGTATTTCTAGTAGTAAGAACACTGTCTGCCCATTCTCACTGCTTATGTGAGAATGGGCAGCTCAATCCAGTTCTTCCAACAGTGTACACAGTTTGTGTAAAGAGGGCTTAGATCTGTATTTCAAAGGTGACTGTGGCTTTTCTATCACGAGTTCTTTCTGTTTGCATGAGTTTCAGTTTGTACTAGTTAAGCATGAGCACATAAGATATATTATACTTGTCCCACTGACACTGACTAAAATGCTAGACTCAGAACTAGAGTTAGATTCTGCTACTTGCCCCTATTTTGTTTGGATTTATTTCTTTTTCTTTTTTGTTTTGGCTCAGTCTCCTGGAAGTTCATTCATTTCAACAGAATTTGAAAATGTCAAGCGCACCACAAAAGGAAAGTGACTCAAAAGAACTGATTGTTAGCATTCATCCCTCTTTTAGTCTAAGCAGCAGCCAGGCGCCCAAATGGTAGGACTCTTCAGTCGTGTAATGTTGCTGTTAGTCAGTTTGACTGACTCAGTGCTACAAGCAGAAAAAAAAAATCTTTATTTGCTTAAAATAGAAAACTGATGATGCTTCACTAAAGCACCTCATTGGACTGAGGTGCTTTTAGTGTAGCGGTATAAAGTAAACAGTATTTTGGTAGAGAGCACTGCAGTGGCTCCCAATTGTTTTAGGATTTTAAGGACATCCTGTTTGTCCTTGTTTTCCCTTTGCCATATGTCATTGTCTGTTTTGAAACCAGAGGTTTGAGTGCAATTATTAGAAGGCTATGGGGGTACAATAAGGGTATTCTGTCTCAAGGAATGTATAAGCAAAAGTTAGACATTTAGTTTAACAGAAGTGTCGATTTTTCTTACTGTGATTGTTTTGTCATTTTTGTGCCCCAAAGCCCAAACTATTTTCACTTTTATCAAGAACTGAGAAGCTGGAAATAGTTTGGTTGTTTTTTTTTTTGCTTGAAGCATGATTATTGTGTTATCTGTCTACTGTGTACTTGCTGCAGGACTTCTGTAACACCCTCTATGAAACTCTAGGGCATGCTGACCCTGAAGTTTGGAACTACTAGAGTAGAGGAATTAAAAGTATTAAGGAGCCATTAAATGAAGAGCAACATCCTTTATCCCAGTTGAACCTCAGTAACCTTCCAGACACAAGAAGCCTTTATTGTATGACTAATGGGGTCATTTTAATAATGTTGAGTCAAAGTAGATGCTTAACTGCCAGCTATTACGTTTAAGTGGCTCTACTGCAGTCTGAAGGTTTTAACTGGATTACAGCACTCACTTGCTTTAACTAACAGAACACAAAGTTTATGTGGAAGAATGTGTTTTGCTTTTATACACAAGGTTCTTCAAATATATATTTAGATTAAAAATAGTGCAAAAGTCTTGAGGAATATCTTATTTCTGAATATTTTGCTATGGATCAGAATTCCATTAATTTTGACAATATCCCCAGAAAAGCTGGCTGAAATTCAGACCATGAAGGAGCCTACAGATAGCTGTAGACACTTTTGTAGCTCTTGCTTGACCTTCGTACAAAATGACAACAATTTGAACCAAACATTTCAAAATTGGATTCCTCACTCCATAAGACCTGCTGCCACTAAGTTGCAGTGTAAGATTACTTGGAAGTCTCTATCATTGGTGACTCAAGACTTTTGTACAGTACTCTATTGTTTAAGTTTATTGTTGTCGTTTTTCTTTACAATGGCTTGTGTAATTAAATTCTCCTTACAAACCCATCAGTATGTACTGAACATGTTTTAATGTTTTGTGAAAAGAAAGAACGGTGTATTTGTATTTTTTTTTAGTGATGATGTTTGACGTCATCTTTCAGGTACACCCTCAGTACCTCCAATTCAGCCATCGCTGCTCTGCTGTGTGCCCTGTATCCACACTTCCCTGCTCACAGCACTGACAACCGGTGAGACTAATACATATGCGCACAATATTAAAATAAGAGTTTAGTTGATAACCTGTGTAAGTACCAAAAAGTAGCAATAGAAACTTATAAGAATGTGATTTTTGTGATCATTTCATTAGTGATGAACAGATGATTGCTTGTGTGGCTCTCTCATGTGTTTTTGTACTAGTTGTTGTACAACTTCTATAAAATTTGCACAGTGCTTTATACTAATTTTAGATGTGTTTGGATGTTTCCCACCAAAATATTTTTGGTGTTTTATTCTGAAAAGAAATAAGAAGACGATGCAAGAAATGCATTGAAGCATCTTTCTGTCAGTTTAGCTTAAAATAAGTGCAGTGTGCTTAAAAATATTTGTGGTGCTTGCTTTTGCGCTGGTACTGCACATCCATTCATCTGTGCAAAAACCAGCACTCAAGTTAAATCTTCCCTGATATTGGTTTTCAATCAATTTTATTTCTTGGTGAAGTCTTTCCCATGCTCATTGGCCAGATTTGGTGTAAAAAAAAAAAATATATTCTGGCACTCATTAGCTGATGTGCTTTCGGCATGGTATCCACAAGCTCAGAATCCGTCTCTGCTCTTTGATTGCCAAAAAAGTACTGGACAACCTGCACAAATCCTTCCCCGATGCTGCTGATTCAGGTGGCTTTAGTTTCCTTTTAAATTTATTTTCAACTATCATTTCAAAGACTTAAGACCCAACAAAAACCCCTTCCTTAATTCTGACTTCACTTTTCTTAAATGCTGAAATGCATTGCCGTTTTTGTTGAGTCAGCCTAGTTGTCCAATACTTAGAACATCATAGCTAAAATGGTAGGAAAACTTTTCAAGCACTACACCTCTGCTCCTTTAACCAGTAACGGAGTTGGGAGTGTTAGCCCCAATATGGTGTAGAGATTATGTAACCTTGAAGTGGCGTATGATCTGTAAAATTCAGAATGGCACACCTGCAGTAAAAAAAACTAAGCTTGTCTCGATTTTGGAGAATAACAACACAATTCTCTGTCATTCTTTACATTAAAAAAACCCAATATGTTTGTTATGAATGTCTATCCGTTCATATTAGTAATTAAAAAAACAAAAACAAATGCATATTTGTATTTCTGTGTTTGCTGTAGCTACCACCTGCAGGCCCTTCGGCACCTGGCTGTGCTGGCTGCAGAGCCTCGACTGCTCGTCCCTGTGGATGTGGACTCCCTGAAGCCTTGCTATGCCCTTTTAGAGGTCACTTACAAGGTCAGGTTACAAGAAACATGTACCAACCTAATACCTGTGAATGACCATTAGGTTCATGTTTCAAAATTGAACATAGTTTTTCCTGTCCCAAAGCCACCTTTGAAACCACCTCTCATTCTTTGTCACAGCTCATTGTCACAAACGGCACCGCTGTGCTCTGTGCTCCACTTTTACATTAACACAAAAGCAAATGTACGTTCTGACTCAGACTGTAGAGTGTAGTGCACAATGGTTTCTGTTCATTTTGAGGTGTTAGAAAAACTTGCCTGTCCACTATACCACTGTGTTCTGCTTTTTTATCAGTGTTAACTGCTCTTAGCTAGTCAACTTCCTCTACAGTTGATTTCATACACTTTCAAACTAAATCGTCTTCATGTCAGTGTAAAATCAGCTACCGTGGTCTCATCTCATTCATATTGTTGCTATTTTAAAATTTTAAGAGCAGCAGTTTTATGCCAGCTTATGAGTACGGTAGCTAATATATATGTATATATTTGCTACTAATTTTGCATTTAACTGATTAGCAATAATTCAGCTGTTCATACAGTTGTTTTCCTTTTTCTGCACATCTGGTTGTTGTACATAAATATATAGTCTTTTCCTGTGTTAACTTTAGTTTCCTTTCTGGTATGTAGACATGCATAGTTTTATATGCCACTCATTGTTTTCCTCGTTGTTAGTTTTGATCAAGTATCCTTGATTTTGAAAGAGAAAAGATGTGCTTTCAAATTAATCTGTGACAATTTCATTAAATAAAAGCTGGCCTCACTGCCTATGTGCTCTTAGTTAAACATGTTACATGTAAATGGAGGAAAGTCATTGCACTGCACCTTAGTTTTCTCCAAAACTGGTATCCAGCACTGTGTAGGTTTCAGTTTTATATAAGAGAAAGTGAAAATAGCATAACTGCTTAGCAAGTCTTGATGGGAAAAAAAGTTTCTAGTATTAAGGGCAACACACACATCCCTAGTGTTAAAACACAGCAGCAATTGTTTTCTGTTTCAGCAAGTACATTGTTAGAATTTTATGTGCGTCACTGTGGCATCATTAGGATGCCACAGTGACGCACATTGGTACCGTTTCCCAGTATCAATGGTTGTCAACCATTCATGTGTGAAGGTAAATCCTTTCCATAGAAATTGCTGGCTTTTTTTGGAATATCTGTAAAAGCAAATATTTGACACTCTTGGGAACAAAGCCAATAGGTAATGGGAATTTATTCAAATAAATGACAGACGACACTGGCATTGTGTAGTTATTGTCATACTTTAAACAAAACTAGCTATAACATATGATCAAAAATACATCGTAAAAATTGATCGGCAACATGAAAAATAGTAATAGTAAGAAGAAGAACTTTTTTTTTTTTTTTTTTTTACACCAATGTGTAAAATACACACAAAGTATAATCTGGGATTAATTGGGGAGCATTTTTCTCTGCTTTTGGCAATTGCTCATTCCTTCAGAACTTAATTCTCTGCAAATTTAGGCCACAAGCAGACCTTTCTTGGAACAGTTGGTCTCAACATGCTTGTGTCTAAAATGAGAGGAAATCAGTTGAGAGGTGTGTCAGGAAAAAGTCTTTACTCATTTTTTTTTCAATTTTTTTTTAAAGAAAAGGGCTACAGAGCAATACCAGTGACTTTTGAAATGATGCGCTCTGAGCAAGAAAATTGTTTTGTCATAGTAGTACTGTTGTAGAGTGATGAAATGAGGAAGGGAGAAATGACGCAAGATCCTTCTTTGTAACCTCCATGGTGCCTCTAGCATTAGTGAATTTTAGCATGTCCAGCAAATAGTGTCTGCTCCAAAACCTTTTTCAGTTACTTCATATAGTCGTAGTCATTTTCATTAATATTTTATTGAGTCACTTATAATCTTTTCTTTGCTGGTTTCGTAGTTTGACAAACGCTGAGGAAGCCCAAAGAGATGGGAATTTACACATTTCAAAAAAACAACCGCCATATAGAAGCTTCCATTCATCCATTTTTCTTCTTCTAATCCAGTTAAGAGTCATGGAGGGCTGGAGCATATCCCAGCTGTAACAGGGCAAAAGGCACTGGTTGCCAGTTTGTTGTAGGGCTAGATAAATTGAACCTAATTTTTATTTCTGTACAGAATCATTACTTTAATCCCTTTGTGTGTCTTATGCTTTTCATCTTCAACTGTTGCTAAAACCTATTCAACTGTTGTTTGTATTTTAAACTGCAAGATCTATAAATTCTGCTGCTGGGAGAGATCAGTGACTGTGTAAATGTTTTCTACAGTCATTGAGAGAGATAAACAGTGAAGTATTGAATTGAACTCTTTATGCATTTCTACAGATAAAGAAAGATGGAGGCTTGTCAGGACTACCTTCAATAGAATGGCTCAGTTAAATTTTAATCACAGTGGAATGCTCAGAGTGTGTGTGTGTGTGTGTGGGGGGGGGGGTGTAAAAGTGTAAAAGTGTTCGTGTGCTTTTTAAGATCTGTGAAAACTTACTCAGACTTGGAGATGGTTTGTTTCAAAATGAATTTAAGTGGATGAATTTAGGGGTGCTGTCCCTCATGTTGTTATACTGTTACATTCACATACAATCTGCTATTCTATACTTTTTGGTGACACTGTGTAAATATAGATCAAATGTGTATCGTTTTGTATGTTTCAGTTCTATAAAATATTATGTGTATTAATACCCTGTACTGATAAAAGGGTGATAGTGCACTTTGGTGAAATTGTAAGGTGCTTGGACATCTTACAGGCTAACTTTGAGAGTGTGAGTGACACTGTTTCCTCTTTTTTATAGGAGACTAAGTGGTATGACGAGACAACAGTAGAACTGATGGCTCCTACCTTGCTTCCTGAGCTGCAACTTCTCAAACGGGTAAAGCCAGAGAATAGTTGTTCTTCTTCTTTGCCTTTATTTGGCTGCTCCCTGTAGGGGTTGCCGCATTCCCATCCATCCATCAATCAATGAATCACACCTCACCCTGGCAGCATCCTTGTCAAATGCCCAAACCACCTCAACTGGCTCCTCTTGAAGTGCAGGAGTAGTGGCTCTACTCTGACCCTCTCCCGGATGGCTGAACTCCTCAGCCTATCTCCAAGGGCATGGACAGCTACTCAGCTCATTTCCACTGCTTGTATCCACATTTTTATTTTGGGTTAATATCAAAGGATTGTGACCATAGGGTAAGGTGATACAGATCAACCTGTAAATTAAGCGCTTGACTTTTACGCTTAGCTTTCTCTTCACCATGACAGACTGGTACAGCATCCATATCACTACAGTCGCTGCACAAATCCGTCTGTCAGTCTCCCCTTCCCTTGTGAACAAGACCCCGAGGCACTTAAAATCCTCCACTTGGGGCAGTAACTGGTCCCTTACCCAGAGTGGGCACACACCACCCTTTTCTGGCTGAGTTCCATAGACTCAGACTTGGAGGTGCTGATTCTCTTCACTCTGCTTCACACTCTGCTGTGAACCACTCTGGTGCGAGCTGGAGGCCACCGCCTGATGAAGCCAACAGAATCGCATCATCTCCAAAAAGCAGAGACAAGATTCTGAGACCCCCCAAGTGGAAGGCTTCCACCACCTGGCTACACCTAGAAATTCTGTCCATTAAAAAAAAATTATGAACAGAATAGTTGAGAATAGGGCAGACATGGATGAGTTCAACACCCACAAGTCTGACCTATTGCAGGCTATACAGACAAAACTCCTGCAATGGTTGTATAAGTATCGAATTGCTCATAGCAACGGGCCAGACACCCCCTACTCCCGAAGCACCTCCCTTCGGAACACTTCGAGGGACACGGTCGAATTCCAAATCCACAAAACACATGTAGACTGATTGGGCAAACTCCCATAAAGGGGGTAAAGAGCTGGTCTAGTGTTCCGCAACGAGGCAGAAAACCGCATTGTTCCACCTGCATCCAAGTTTCAACTAACGGACAGACTCTCCTTTCCAACACCCTGGCATAGACTTTCCTGGGAAGGCCGAGGTGTGTGATCCACCTATAGCTGGAGCACACACTTTGATCCCCCTTATCGAAGATGGGAATCTCACCCCATTCCTACCATCATCCTCTGTTCTCTAGAACAGAAGTTTGCAGTCTCCTTAACAGCACTGATTTCTTATGCCACCCAAAATCATTTTAATTGCAGTAAGCATTCCCTGGACCCTGGAAAAATCTCTTTTTTGTCATTTTTGTCAATATATTTTTTTCAGGTAAAAGTGAAAGGACCACGTTACTGGGAACTGTCTGTAGACCTCAGCAAAGAAACACAGCATCTAAAGCAAGTATAGAGAGAACATGTATAACTTTGGTAGAGGTTTACAGTAATGATTCTGCTAAATGATAAGGACCATAATTCCTTCTTTTTATTGTAAATGTATAAGTGGAATCTAGGTTGAAATGTGAATCTTGTTATCTCTCTAAGGTCCATCTTGTTGAGAGATGGGGTGTTGTATGTAAAACTACGGGCTGGCCAGCTGCCCTACAAGGACGACCCTCAAGGTTGGAAGAGCCTGGTAGCCACCACAGTCAACCACCGCAGCTCTGGAGTCAAAGCCTTCAAGGTAAAACTGTCACACCAACCTGAAAAGCATAACGACATTATAGGGGAAGCTCAACATGAGCAGGCTTTCATTGTGTTAGGTAATGTGGCTAAACCTAAAACCCCAGTCAGAGAGAAGTTGTATTTGCAGTTACCTCCGGCTACAGTAATTTCCACTGCTATAACTTTACATTTGGGCTTCATTCATGATATTAGCAACGTAAGCAACTTCCTATGTATTAATCATATTCTCCCAGTAGAGGATTACACTTAAAATATGCTGTAAATAAAACGAATTGGAGAAAAACAGCTGATATTAAACTGAAAGTCTGAACATAACCTGTTTTTATTCATGTTATGTGTTCAGCTTATGTTACCATGGTGATTTAGCTGGTGAAAAAGCGAGCCATATTTGTGACACAAAAAGCCCTGACTTAAAGCTCAGCATAGATGCTAACCGAAACAACTGTGCTAAATGCAATAAATATCCACCTTTTTAAAAAATTAGATTAAGTTTGCTACTATCAGCCAGAGCATCTGCATTGTATTCTCTTTCTGTAGTGTATTTGTTAGTGGTGAGAGTCCATTAACATGTTGCAGGTTAATGAAGGCTTTAGTACATTTTTATGTAGCTTGCCATCACCAGTGTGTGAATGTGTGTGTGAATGGGTGGATGACTGGATATGTAAAGCGCTTTGGGGTCCTTAGGGACTAGTAAAGCGCTATATAAATACAGGCCATTTACCATTTTACCATTTTATGTAGGTTTACAGGTTTTGTAAGCATTATCAAGCTTTTTTGTTTACGCTTTTCTCCTAATACACATAGACAAAAATCTACAGGTGGTGGAAAATTTTAGATGCGTTGTAGTTGAAGTGAGACAATTTCATATTACAAATTTGAAGAAAAAAAAAACAGCCATTTTATTCTTAGTTTTCTATAGGTTATCTTATTTTTTGTCTTGTGTCTCTCCCTCTTTAATAGACATTTTTTTTCCCCACACAGTGCCAATTGCAAAGCTCACCTCAACTTGCACCGCACCCTTGTTAGTTTGAGTCAGTTTGCATCTTTCCAGCGAGTTCATCTGCAAACAAGCTCCTTCAACAATTTGCTTACTGTACTGCACACAGCTTTCAGAAGCCTGAGATAAGCAAGGGTTTTAGTAGGGAGTCGGATACTACTAATCCACAGACGCTCATGGTTCCCTTTTTCTTTTAGATTTATAATGCGCATTAATAACTATAGTTCAATCAACTGAGGGGCCAGATGCATCTTACAGATCCTGTGTCAGATCTTTGGTGTATATTTTCCTATTTCTTAAGAACATGACTTTCAGATACTGTTGATTTGCAGTGAATAGTTTTTGGGTTTTTTTTTTTTTGGGGGGGGGGGGGGTTTCTATACCAATTTAAGTTTTCTATTGCATTTTGCTTCTTACAAACCCTTCTTTAAAAATTGATTTGAAAACAGACAAACACATCAATAGGAGTGACTGGAAATGAATTGACCTCCTCCCCAGTGAATGCTTCTGTCCAGTCTTGGCAGGTTGTCACTAAATGTTCAGTAGGCAGCTGTGTGGTTGACAGACTATTTACTGGTTTCCTGATGGTCTCAGTGTATGCTGTCAATATACTTAGAAGTCCAGAGGGGGAAAAACAAACACTGTTTATTCCACTTGTCCA